GTCATCAACCAGAGGTTTACAAGTGACTCACATACAGAAAAAAGTGAAGAAAAAACTGATAACTAGAGAAGTGTTGATACATGAAGTGTTCAATTCAAGAGTATAATAAACAGAAAAGAGCCTGATATGCTCAACAAAAGTACATATGCAAAATTACCGTCGAAAAATGATACTCTTGGTGTTAATTTAACTGAAATTAATTCTATTCGAGTGGAAAAATTATTATGGATGTATAATAAACTATCGAAACAACAAATTCAGTTCAACAAGGGAAAATACCGCCACTTCTTACATAATCAGTATTTCTATTTATCAAGCACTTGTGCTTATAGACTTGATGATCTGTCAATTAGTTGAGAGAAATTGTCTGTATATGAAAAGGTCAAAAAAGTACAAATAATTTTAGCGGTGAGGAGAATCTCCGATTAGTGGGTTTTCGAATAGTCAGGTCTTGGAAGCGAATGCTACCAAGGCCTATGTGGATGGGTCTTTCTCCCTAGGAGTTTTATACGCCAACGCTCGTAGTCTAAGACATAAATTCTACGATCTAGGAGCATTAGTGTACAAATTAGGTCTACTCATTGTAGCTGTGACGGAAACTTGGTTAGTCCATGACTTCGAAATTACCCCAGAATTATCCGGATACCATTGTTCAAGAAGTGGTAGACATAGATGCAGGAAAGGAGGTGGCGTCCTTCTGTACATAGCCAATAATATAAATATCCGCTCCTCCATTTGCGAATCCCATGATAGTGGAACTAGTGAAGTCATTAGCTGTGAGCTCATTATCGGATTTTGTACATTTGTATTCCGTGTCATCTACCGCATCCCAATCTGCTTAGCTGATGACTTTATTTTAGAGCACATTCGGCTACGGAGTGCAAATAACAGATGCTTGATATTAGGAGACTTTAATGCACCTGAAATTAGTTGGACTGAGATGACCACGAAAGGATCTATAAACTCCTTTGATACCAGGCTCTTGGAAACAGTAATGGAGCATGCATTAGTACAGAATGCATCCAAACCTACACGTTTTGGTGTAAACCAAGGTTCTTATCTGTATGAGACTGAGGATATTGCCAACCTAAATATTCTTCCCCCTGTTAGTAAATAGTCATCACGCTGTTTTATCATTCACGTTTAAAGCTAGCGACATGATATACGATCAGATTAGGCCTCGCCCAAACATATGGAGAGCTAACATATCAGCCATTCAGGAGTGTGCTGCTAAGATAGATTGGTCAGTAGATACTAGCTCATCAGCTGAAGAGGCGTGGTCTATATTTAAAGGCAAGTTTAGTGCAGTCATTTCCCCGTTCATACCATACTTGGTACCACGTAGACCGAATAATAGTCCACCATGGATAAATAAACAAGTCAATAAACTCCTTCGGCATAGGAAAAAGCACTGGAATATGTTCATCTCTACTGGCTTAGAACAGTACAGATCCAGTTATTGTAAGATTAGAAATACTTGTAAGGCGTTAATTAGTAGGACTAGACGGTCATATGAAAAGCAGTTAGTTAGGGATTGTAAATATAGTCCAAAACGGTTATTTTCGTATATAAAGAGGCGAACTCAGAGAAGTGATGGAATCCCATCACTTTTGGTACGAGAAAATCCGTTAATATTGGCGAGAAATGATACCGAAAAAGCCGAAGCTTTATCGAAATATTTCAGTAAAGTTTTTTCTACCCATAATGAGGAACGACCACCTATTAATTGTGATTGTGGCGGTTTGTTGATGGACCCCGTAGTTATTGAGAAAGATACTGTCTTAAGACTAATACAGCATCTCATACCTGATAAGTTCCAGTGGTCCTGATGATATTCATCCTACGATTATGAAAGCCCTATCAGATAAATTTGCTGAACCTTTAGCGATGCTGTTTGATATGTACCTGCGGCAGTCCAAATTGCCCAGAGACTGGAAAGACGCGATAATCAGTCCGGTGTATAAGGCTGGGAGTAGAGATTTAGTTAGTAACTATCGTCTCGTCAGCTTAACTAGTGCAGTTGTAAAACTGATGGAAAAAATTATTAGGATGACTGTTATAATTTACGTGGTAGGACATGATCTTTTGTCCAAGGAACAACATGGTTTTCGGAAAGGTCTGTCGTATTTGACAAATCTCATTGCAAGAGAAGATTTGGTTGAAGCAATAGATCGCAATATTCCTGTTGATTTGATTTTCATAGATCTAAGTTAAGCCTTTGATAAGGTTTCCCATTCTGGTCTTAAATTAAAACTCGAAAGTTTTGGAATTCATTATGCAGTCATAGACTGGATAAGTGACTTTTTTCATGACAGGAGGAAAAGGGTAAGAGTAAATGGATCTCTCTCATCGTGGGAACCAGTAGAAAGCGGAGTCCCTTAAGGCACAATCCTAGGTCCTCTTCTCTTTTTACTATATGTGAATGAATTACCAACTATAGCTAAGTCTTCCGTCCTACTGTTTGCCGATGACATAAAGATTTGGAGACAGATACATAGCATGTCAGACAGAATAGTATTACAGGAAGATCTTATATCATTAGTGGCATGGATGAACGGGTGGTCACTAGAAGTAAATCATAACAAAAGTGTAGCGATGCGATTAAATAACTACGGTGATTCGTATTACTACACAATATGTGGACTAGTGTTGCCCAAAGTAAGAAACTATAAAGATTTAGGAGTCATACTAAATAATGATATAAAACAACCAGTCACTGTAAGGCTGCTGCTGCAAACGGCTATAGGGTATTATGGTTTATTAGTAGATCTTTCCGGCATCTGGATGAGGAAATGTTTAGATTATTATACCCAACTTTCGTGCTGCCACATTTGGAATATGGGATTCAAGCAGCTAGTCCTTGTTTCAAATATGAGGTGGATTTGTTGGAACGAGTCCAACGCCGTGGGACAAAAATGGTAAAAGGCCCGTCTGACCTATCTTATGAAGACAGACTGAGACAACTCAATTTATTTTTGTTATCTTACCGGCGAATACGGGGTGATCTAATATTTAAAGCAATTAGTCCCTTTGATAAATTTCGATAATGCAATGAGAAGACGAAGATTATCAGAACTATGTGATATATTAGCGCAATACATTTCGAACAATCTGATCACACATATACTTGTTAAGAACATTTATATATAAAAATAAAAGGTCAACTAGACTGGAAATAGGGGTAAGAATAGACAAGGATAATAATGATAAAATAATGTGAAAACAATTTGACACCTAATCACTCTGGATAATAAGCATATATTACCAGGGTAGGTTTAAAGAGAGAACAAACTGTTTTTGAATACACAAAGGGGGGTTGAATTTTCGTATGGCTAAGGCTTCAACAAACCTTAGTATACGCCCTTTTACACTTTTAAACAACACCACAAAAGCCGAGTTTAGATCAATCTTATGACCTGTTTCGATTATATGTTTAGCAATAGAGGATGATGGATGTTTATCCTCTACTCTTATTGGGTCATTCTAATATTGACATTTCGTATCCTGAACGATGACCTTGGTACTAACATGTCCTATCTTTTCCTCCAATCTAGGGCTGGTCATTTGAGAGGACATTCGAATAAAGTCCAAAAACCGAGATCAAATCGTCTACGTCCGGAGTTTCGTTTCTCGCACCGAGTAGTGAATTATTGGAATTCTCTACCTGAAGACGAAATATCAGCTCCTTCTGTTGATATTTTCAAGACGAGATTGGATCTCCACAGTTCAAAAAACTGTAAAGATTAAAATAGGTCAATAGACCTCATATCCTTATTACTGAAGACTAAACGTTTATGTTACAATACCGGTAGTGTTATGGCGGCGACTCAGTTTCGGCGCGGCATTAAGTGAGCATGCTCGTTGCGGCTCCGAGACTGCCTATTTGGGGACTTTTGTTATTTCAGCTCTTTTTCAATTGCTTTACCTAATAAACCTAGGCTCATTGTGTGTGCTAACTAGATCGTTGGTCCACTTTTTCATTCTGTTCTTTTTTCCTGCCTTCCTAATGCTGCTCTGCATGTCCCCCTAATGCACAAAGTCGCTTCTTACTCGAGGCAAAAAGCTACAATGCTTTAAAGCCTGATTTATCTGTTGGCTTACAATTGTTTAGCCTTTTTGTGCACAATCAACTCTAGCGGTAATTTAGTCATCGTTTGCATTCATATATTGCGATCGAACATCCGGTTCACTTTATATCGTCTTGAATCTCTCGTTAGTATTTGTATATAACAAATAATTCAAGTGGTAACGCGGTGAGTTATGCCACCAGTTGATATGACCTGGTTATTAGTTTGGTTATCAATGTATATAAATGACATTTCATGCTTTTTTGTGCTAAAGACGTTACGGCGGACTGTGTGCGTTCGTCTGTCTTTTTATTTTCTTGGTGTAATAGCGTCAGTTCCTTTGTAACCGACCATTTACTCGTTTTTTGAGTTTTCTAGCGATGTAGGTCGATCAAAAGACCGCTAATCCTCCATTTTATCTATTCTTCCAGGTATTTTTCTGTTTAAGACCATTACAGGCTTTTGATATCTTCTTCTCTGTTCACCAATACGTCTTTCATCTAAATCTCAAGGAGACATGCTTGCTGATCACCAAACTTCGAAAATTCTTACTAATTTTATGCATTCATGCAATGCTTTATTTTACTATGTAAGCTTTAGGCTCCCCATGTCAATTCGTGTGTTCCGTAGGTCACCATCATTGTTGTGCTTAATGTTTAAACACCATATTTGTTTCAACTGTGTTTGTAATGTTTGCACTAACGAAGTACATATATAGGTTCTCCAGATTGGAAGGTTTTATCACCTGCTTTTAGTAGCATCGGCATATTACAAATTTGACTGAGGGAACCTACCATGAAACAGAGATGTTTGAATCCTAACCTTTTTTCGTCACAATTGTGGGCTTTTAAAGCTATTCTTAGTCTTTTTAATTAATATCTTTACAAATACCTCACTATAAGGTACTCATTACAGAAAAGCATCAAAATGAACCCTGAACACAATGTATTTTCAACACTACTTAGTTTCATTATTGTGGTGTATCGCTTGTCTAGCATTTCTTAAAAGCCGTCTTTAAATATAACACTGGAGATTACGAAATTCGTAATAGCTTACAATTTATTCCAGTTTGATCGTCATTCAGCCTATGGAGGCTACTAATCTCTTATCAACTTTGGAACTTCTGTGTGCACCCAAAAAGCTTGATCGTGAGAGAGGCGAAGACCAACTAAATAACATATCACTAACATCTGACGAAGTTAAGTTGGTGTCAAGTTGGATAGAAGAGAAGTTGGAAGGACTATCTAACTGGGAAGACGTAAGCAGATATTGTTATTAATTCTTGCCAGGTCTTCGGTGGGATCACTGCAGCTATCATTCTACTTCGCAATGTTGATTATGGATCTCTAGTAGATATTGGTATTGTCGGTAAATTAGAAGACCAAGTAGTTCAGTGTCATGATAACCCTGAATTTCGAGTTCGGATAGCTGCAGGTCAACTTATGGGTTCTCTCTGTCGACATGCTGGATTATCTTTATTTAACCGGTACTTACCCACTGTAATTCAGGGTGTCATCACTAATTTAGAAAGAAATACTGAAGCACCTGTATCTGAAGCTGAGTTATCTCTTCGAGAACTCAACATAGCTAAGGTTAGTAAATTCTAACTGCTTTCTGTAATGGCTGATTTTTTATAGGAACACAGTACTAATTTGAGCAGCAGTTCTCTGTCTATTTTTCATGATACAGCAGGTTGGAAAAACTTGGAAACATGGATGAAATGCTTACAGGAAATGGTGTCAAATCTTCCATCCAAAGATTTCATTAAAGTGGATAAAACTAATATTTTGGAACTTACTTTTAAAGCTGTTCAGCACGTTAATCGTTTCGTACGTGAAACAGGTTATGATGTTTTGTCAACAATGATTTCTCGTCACTTATGTTATACGGAGCCAGAAGCAAAAGAACCAACTTATATCAACGTCGCAACCCAACTTGTTAAGGGTTTATCAGATAATTGGAGTCAAGTATGTGTATATTTGTCAATTTTCAATGCGTTGACTTTCAAGGTTGTAATCTTCAGTTATGAGAGCTTATCCCTTGAAAAATCGAATGTTTTAAGTGTGGTTTTAGGCTCTATATCTGTTCAAAGCCAGTCATACATATTTTGACTTTTGAGAATCTTAAGTTTTGTACCACCTGCACTAGCTTAAAAATCATTCGCCAAATGATTTTTCCGTTGGTAGTAAAGTTCTTCCCATGGCTCCATAAAGAGAGTTAATGCGGTCTCTCTGGATGCATCTCGTTGCTCGCATCTGCTGGGATAACCGGGTAAGTAATAGTAAGGTTAGACGCAGGGTATTAGGGAACGATGGTAAATCAGTTGATGAGGTGATGAATCTTCATCGACTGAGATGGTTGGGCCATGTGTTACGTATGCCTGAACACCGATTACCACGACGCGCTATGATGACTCGTATTGGGGACGGTTGGAAGAGAGTTAGGGGCGGCCAAACCAAAACATGGCATCAGTGTTTGAAGTCACTAACTTCTAGCCTGAGCCATGTTGGCAGATGCAGACTACCTGGTTGGGGTCCGCGTGACTATCGTAACCAATGGTTGGAGACTCTAGGTGACATGGCTCAGAATCGGTCACAATGGCGTAGGTGTATACACTCTTTATCTTCCCTTAAACCTTGAGACTAAAATTGCTTCATATCTCTCTTCCTTCCTGTACTATATCCTTATATACAACCTATAATTTATATACTACTACCAACACTAGATTAACTACTATAAATCCGGTGTTCCTCTTGTTGTGCTAACGAGGTATGGCAACTTGGACCGATGCATATATGTGCCTGGTCCTACGTTGTAGCTGACCGACTGACTCTCGTTGCCCAGAAGTTTGAATGTCAGCTACTTGGCCTCAGTTCCATACAGTTCAGTCTTTGGTTTAACTAGTTTACTATTGTTTCTTGCACTTAAAAGAAAAATGCCAAAAAGAAAAAAACCAATTTTTAAACACACTTGTCAACTGAAATGAATTACTACTTTATGCAAATGTACTTGACTTTAAACTATAACACCATAAAGTCGTACCTCCGTTTGATTGGTGCAAGATATTTATTTTTCTTAACGGCGCACTCCCTCAGTTATTCGCAAAATGAAATGTCTAGTCAAAATATTGAGCTTCGATTCGTCAGTTATCACTGTTTTAATTACGCTATTTCATTTCTTCCAGTAAAAAATAGGAGAGTTTGCGCTACAGCTCTACACTTTCAGATTCACCTCGGAAACATAAGTTTATGGTTCTCTTTATTTAGAATGAACATTTTAGATTTAGGCATTCTTACATACTCAATGTTTGTTTTTTATGATTTTAGTTATTCCATGTACGAAATTTTACTACTATTACTAAACCAAAATAGGTTTTCTTTAGTTTTTTCTTGTTTGTAAAATTAACTGCAATTTTAGGTCCGTATGGCCGCTTCCAGGGCAGTACGAACTCTTTTTGAGGTTGATCCTCCCTCTGGATTTACGAGAGATGATATTTACCCCATTCTCCTACCAGCTATGTGTTTAAACAGATATTACGTTGCTGAAGGCGTCAGGATTTATAGTCAAGATACTTGGTGTCGTGTTACTCAAGGGGAAGGTCGAAGGTTACTTGGTCAGTATTTAGTCCCAGCTGTTGATTATTACATTCAACAAAGTGATGCTGATAATCATGCGGTAAGTTGTCAGTCTTTCATTGTAACTTACTTTTTTAATTATATGTTACAGTGAACTTACTGAGTTTGTATTTTTATGGTGTCGTTTAAAATGACTAAAGCTTCTCTTTTATAGAATCTACATCAGAAAATGCAGGATCACATATACGTGAGCTAAAAATGCTCTCTATTGCTTCACAATGTTGTAGCTTTATAAAAAAAACGTATATTGGGAAAAAGTTGCGCTTACTCTCATGTCTTAATTCACTAAGGGGTGATTAACCCACAAAATTTATATCCATTGGTTGCTTATGACATCTAGTTATGCGTATTTTCATAACGAATATCTTGTATGCAAGCGTGATATTTTACTTTAGGAATAGCCATTTCAACTTTTTGTTTCGTCTTTGGATATTAATTTATTTGAAGGCTCTCATCAGTAATTCAGTCGCGTCCACATTGCATCATTGCACGTCACCTATCATTCAGCTTTCTGTTCATTCATTTTAGAAACCCAAAAACATCGTTTTCAATTTCCTGAAATCTTTCTTAATGAGAGCGTTAAGACTTTGTAAAACCCTGATTCATGCTGCAATCGGTATGTCCGAGAAGTAAATTGTTACCTGTTCAATGGAATAAGACTGATTTTAGTGCTATATTTCTACCGACAAGACCACGAGAAGTTGTCATGACTCCAAATACTCGAAAAAGAAGGTAAGGTGAATGACCATGCAGTGGTCTTGGAAGCATGTCTAGGAAATACAACATAGATCAATGGCACAAGATTCTGCAGTCTCAGCTAGTGACACCTATCCTCCTATTAGACATGGGACTCGGACGTTTAAATCTCCAGCATATAATCTGAAGCACAGTTTCAGGAGACAGGATAGAATTTACTGACCTCCAATTGTTAACATTAGTGGTCCATTATGAAGAATTCAAAGACAGATGACGGTTCATAATAAAAATAAAATTGTGGTTTAGTTATGAGGTTATTTCGTGCACTATTAAAGGTATGAGGGGAGTTTTCAATTCCTTGTAGCCCATATTGGGGGAAGATATTTCTTGGCGGACCTGAATAGGAAACTGGATTAGTGATCTTAGGGACCTGGAAGCGTGGCCACAGTTCATACAAGTCAACCGCTTGTGGACTGTCGCACTTAGTCTTTTCGTAGGAAGTATTCGTTATGTTAGCTCCTTACTTCAGAAGGATTTGCCGCTGGAAATGGGGATCTGTAGGGTAAAGCAAGGTGAGACATTTAACTCGACGCAAAGGAGAATGCACGGCTGTTGATTAATATTTATTTATGCACCAACCATCAAATCCAGCACTGATTTACAACTGATTCCCAATTAGTAAAAACAACATCCAAATGTGTAATATTATATATATTATTTTAAACATCTTTTTAATTGGTCAATTTGAACATATTAAAATGGTAGTAGTTAACAATAATTAGCGTTAGTTTAGTAAATGTATGTAATTTACACAATCAATAGATTAACTCATTCAGTTAAGAAATATAAGTAAATTGGGGAGCTATGTTTTACTTTTTCCTTCTAAAGGAAATCGATCTTCCTCATTCATAGTAGTATTTATATTAAAACTCATGGGTAAATGTCTAACGGCTAAATTTACATATACACATATATTCCTGTTAACATCTCTTCAATGTTCTAAACTAAAGTACGCCATAATTCTAAACACTGGTTAATTGGTTGATTAAATCTTCACGAATAAAACACTAATTGTATTGAAGTACATGACGATTTCTAAATGCCATTAATTAATTGACGCCTCTTAATAGTGCTCAATTGTTAATACAGTTACATAAAAGGAACCTTGAGAAATCTCTTAGTTCTCGATGATATAGTGAGACTGAGGTATTGATATGGTAATGATTCAATAAACAATGTTTAATTATTTTTATAAAGTGACGAGTTTAAATTACTGTATTTCTGAATACTTACGAATAATCATATTTCCATCGTCCTTAAATTATTAATAAACTTTTATGAACTTTACGCTATGGAAAATCTTAGGCTACCAATAAAGCCTACAAAACCTGGACGGCCGTTTCGTCCTAGTTCGGGACACCTCAACAGCGCACCCCCGCCGCCCCGCATCCTGCAATCAAACCCAAGACTCGGTCACACGCGTGAACGCTTAGCTGTCAAACCACCACACCGCTATCGAACTCAAATGAAACGATCGTCCAGTATGTTCACTTTTTCATTAGTGGATTAACAAATATTTGTTTGGCCCTCAAATGCTCTGGTACGGCCGAGGGTCGGGAGAGTCCTTCCTCCCTCTAGAAATGTTCGCAAATGGCCTCCTGTATACAGCCACTTCCAGGAAAGTTCTGCTCACCGCCTTCTCGCGGCGGGGGTGTTGTTTACGAACTTGAGAGGATAAAAAGCAAATGTCCAGCGCTTTAAACGGGTTAATGGATACAGGGGATCCATCTAGGGGAGTTGGAAAACATTGATTCTAAACCAATGTTGCACATGGGCTCCAGGATCCTGAGGGAACAAATGGCGTATGGACCAATTGTTGGTCACTGGTTACGATGGAACTGTATCACCCAACGTTGCTCCACTGCCTTATGGGTCAGACCTTTAGTTGGAAGGCTCTGTGTATGGTCCCTTAAGAAAACCACCTGCATCGGTCTGGAGACCCGGCCAGTATCACAGCCCACACAGAAATTGACTTGTGTGACGCATATGTATTTGGTGCCCCTTTGTAGCACTATTAATGTGTTAAAATAAATAAAATATTTGTTCGTGATTTAAAATCTATGAATATTCTAGGCTTTACAAAACTTCATACCAGTAATAATCATGTGCTCACCAGTGACTAGCTTGTGGATACAATTGGTGGAGTTATAGTAAAAAGCTGTGACTAATGGATTTCAACCGTGTCGGGTGTTAGACTGTTATCCACCTTGGGTAATGTCAGATTGTCACTCAATACCGTGAATTGATTGAAGTTAGATGTTGACGCTGTTAGGTCCTAGCTCACTGGCTTAGAGATTTAGCATTTAAACGCAAGACCGAAGAACTTCGGTTCGATCCTCAGTAACGAGGACGTGAATTTGCATTTTTAAGTCCCAGGATGAGACGGCCTTCTAATGCTCTCAGGTTTTCAATGCTTGTCTTCACAAAACTATACTGATATGAATAGATTTTTTTAAATTTCAATCATTGTTTGAATATATTTATAGTGTTTAATAAGGTTTTGTATACTTGACTGAAATATTATTCAATAAACGTCCTTTATTCTGTTTCATAAGCAGATCCACAATCAAGCAGTTTCGCAGTTTGTACTAAAGATTGCTGATACAGATTTTTGCTTTATATTTAGGTTCGTGAGGCTTCTTGTGCGTCTATGGCTGAGATTGTAACTAAATTAGATTCAAAGTTGCTACTACCGTGTGTTGGTAAATTGCTCGATGCCTTAATTGTATGCTTTGGAGATGAAAGTTGGCCAGTGAGAGATGCGGCCTGTGTAGCACTCGGTTCGTTGATTTCCACTTTTCCTAATGAGACACGCGCGTCTGGCCACGATGATTTAATGGCTTCACAATTCTTACGAAACCTAAATGATAGTATTCCATCAGTCCGTGATGGTGCAGCTAAATCGATTGCTGCGATTTTGAAATCAGTTGATGATCAAAATTTATTCCAAGTAAGTTTTTCTATTTCTATATTTTGTATCCATATATTGGTGTTTGAATTTTCCGTGATACCTGTCTCTGTTATGTCTGCAAAATTCTAAACTGACTTGTGCTCGGTATTGAAATTTCAAATCCGGCGGCAAGTAGTATGAACACAAATACTGGTTATGAAAATTTATTTTACCAACCAAAATAAGTTAAACTGTTATCCCATCACATTACTTTCCCTATGACTTATTTACAGTCATATTAACAACCAAATTTCTATAATTTGAATTGAATAGTACTTAACACCAAATAATCATGAAATTAGTATGTGGATACTTATTTATAATATTTTACCGATTGACTTAATTTTGCCGTTTTTGATCTGTCATATCGTCATTCCCAGCACGCATATAGCAAACGGTTCTCTCTTAACCTAGCACACAACAATACTGTTGTGCACTGTCCCAACTGGTAGGGTTGTATTCATATCTTCTGTCCAACTTGTTTGCACAAATTTTATCAAATTCTTTATTTGGTGTTGTTTTGAATTTATGTCCGGCTTTTATCACGTGATTTATCCACCAATCGGAATACGACGTTTCCAATCTTAACACTGTGCCAAGTCAATGACGTTCAACTGGTATGAGCAGTTTAGCGTCCTTATTGGTCCCTTGTCCGCCTAGCCCTTCCAATTGAGTCCAGAACACCAATTACAGCTTCTGCTATGCGAATCATTTATTCCAAACATACTCGGTTTATATACCAAACAGACAGATCGCATCACACCATAAAATAGAAAGTAATATTTGTACAAGATCAAGCCAAATGTGACCGTGAGCGTGAGATACAATAATCAATAAACTGAATATAATTTAGGGACAGTAATTCGTATAATAATAATTCATAAGTAAAAACGAAGCTTGTAGTAAAATGAATATAAACACACACAATCTAATAACTCAATAGTTAAACAATAAGAATGTACATAGAATAATCGTCTGTTAATAGGTCCCGGAAGTAACCCGTACGTATGTCTTCGCTAGGATATAACAGGTGTAACAAGTTATAAATAAATTAATATATTTGTAATATCCCAATGAGTAGAAAATTAGATATTCTGACGTTTCGTGACTCAGTGTAAGTCACTCCTCTGAAGATACCTCTGACGGTACCTCTTCGTGCACTAAATCTCGACGCAGTATTTCACATTTCCAACTTCATTCAGTTCATGATATAGTGCAACTATCACCCAGTCCCATCAGTGATATTTGTAAAATTCTTCATATGTTTGAATTCCACCGCTCGTATTTCTGTTATTTTCTTATCTTTCATCTTGATTGTCTATAATGGATATCTCATTTATCTTCAGAATAAATATGTATTTAAAAAGTTGAATGTTGAACCAACTGATTGTGCTAGGTTTAGGTTGTTCACTCTGTTTATTGATCTTTTCAAGATTTATTTAACTAAATCTTAGTGATGGAACTTGTTCTGTCAAACAAGTTACTTTTTATTTATTTATTTATTTAAACACATATATATTGGTACAAAAGGGCACCAGATACATATGCGCCACACAAAATAATGAAAGTAGGAAGAGAAGGGATGAAAAGATAAGGCGGACTGAAATGTACAACCAGAAGACTCTTTCAGTTAAGAAAGTTAGAACCACTCTTTATGTAGAAAGTAAAAGAAGGTTGCAGCAGGATCGCCACTGGCTTCTATTCTGAGCCATATCCGATAACGTCTCTAGCCACTGTGTTGCACCATCTCTCGGACCCCAGCCAGGGAGTCGTGAAGGACCAACAGAAGCTAGCCCTTTGCAGCTCTCTTTCATGCCACAACACCATGTCATACACTGACCTCCTCTCCGCTTTCTCCAACCAGTCCCAGGGTCGGCAAATAATGCACGACGTGGAAGTCTCTGGGACGACATTCGTAAAACATGTCCAAGCCACCGAAGTCGGTGTTTCAAGATGGTGACACTAATTGAATTATCGTCTCTGCGCCCGAACCCACGATGCCAAACCTCTGCATTGCTAACATGGTGTTGCCACTAAATGTCAGCAATCCTTCGGAGACAACGATGATCGAACACAGAGACGTCTAACATCCTCAACTGGGAGAGGCCAGGTTTCACAAGCATAGAGCAAAACTGCTCTCACCGACGCGTTGTAAATCCGACCTTTTACAGCCAGACTAACATCACGAAGGCGCCGAAGATGGCCCGGATTGGCATAAGCCGATCTGGCTTTCGTTATACGTGCATCAGTCTCATCACTCACGCCACCACCAGCACTTATATAGCTACCTAGATACACGAACTTCTCAAATACTTCAATCTGCTCACCATCCAGGGTGAGTACAGGATGAGAATCCTGCCAGTTTTGTAGGAGTACTTTGCACTTGGAGGGTGCAAAGCACATGCCGTACCTGCGGACACTGATTGCCAACTGATTAAGTGCGGATTGCGTGCCTTGGGCATTATCGCACAGTAAGACAATATCATCCGCATACTCAGGGTCGAGAAGTCTTTCTCCAGGCAGCAGGTCCACACCGCCATTACTTACATCCATCAGAGCTGTTTCCAGGATGTCGTCGATGGCAAAGTTGGAGACGAATGGTGAGATTGAGCAACCCTGCCTAACCCCGCTGCTCGAATGGAACAAGGGAGAAAGGTGGTTGTATGCCCTTACTCTACCTGAGGCGTTCATGTACAGGGCCCTTAAGATGTTAATAAACTTCTCAGACACACCCTTCTTCAATAGACAATCCCAGAGAACAGTCCTGTCCAACGAATCGAAGGCCGCCCTGATATCAAGAAACACTACGATTGTTGACCTGCGATAAGTATGACGGTGTTCTAACATTTGGCGAAGGGTGAAGATGTGATCAATGCATTCTCGACCAGAACGAAAACCAGCCTGCTCCTCGCGAGTCAAACGTTCTCGGGTTTTAAACAACCTACGAAGAATGACAGAAGCCAACAACAACGTGAACCCTTTTTAAAGATAGGGACGACTATTGACTCATTCCATGATATTGGAACACTTTCTTGCTCCCAAACCTTTGCAAACAACATAGTCAATTCCTTAGTCAGAAAGTCACCATCGTCTTTAAAAAGAGCTGGAGGTAAGTCATCTGGGCCCGGTGATTTGTAGCGCTTCAGGAGTTGGAGTTCCTTGCGGACTTCCGCCTCGTTTGGTGGATCAGTCGTCACCGGCCATGGGGGCAGGACAAACTGGTTGATGCTGCCGGAGCAGCAGGCCAGTTGAACTGCCCTTCGAAAAATTCCGCCCATCGTCCAAGACGTCGACAGATGTTAGTGATTGGCATCCCATCATCCTCGTAGATTGTTTCACTCACACCAGACTTCTTGCTGCCAGTGGCTCGGATGAGTTGGAAGAGCTTCCGGCAGTTACCAGATGCAGCTGCTGCTTCCATCTCATTATCACGCTCCGACCACCAGGCTTCTCGGTCCTTACGCAAGCTTTGCCCAATTTCACTACGTAACAGCCTTCGTTTGTGGTCAAACTCACGGTCACCCGGAGTAGACCGACGGGCTTCGATCAGTTGTAAGCCGCAAGCGGCTTTACTCGCCATTTTCATGGCGTCGTGAAGATGCAACCAATGCTCATCTATACTTTTCAGTGGGATGATAGCTAGCCTAGAAGCTAGCTCTGCTCGATACTTGCTTGCAACAGATGTTGCAGCCAGTTTACTAACATCGATCCGTTGGTGGTGGTCAATCCTTCGGCCACTGAAAAGTAAGGTGAGATTGGCGCAGACCAGGGCAAGATCAGACTCCAGATAGGTACTCCAAAAGAAGCGGCAGTCTTGTACACAACCACACCAGCGGTAGCTGATCGCGATGTGATCAATCTGAGTCCAGGCTTGAGATGCAGAGAGAGGACGCCAGCTGGCACACCGGCGATGACTGTGCCGGAAGTGAGTGCTGGTCAGAAACAGGTTGTGGTCTGTGCACAGTTGCAGCAAACGGTCCCCGTTATCTGTCCTGCGACCAACAAGTCCCCATCGGCCACCTAAACGACTCTCTTCTGTGCCTAGACGCCCGACCTGTGCATTCAAGTCTCCGTCTAGTACTACAATATCTGTCGAACGCGCTTTCTGAAGAAGAACAGTTAACTGGTGGTAAGACTCATCCTTGATTGCATCCGGGTTGCAATCTGTCGGGGCATAGGCGGAGATGACGAAAAGACACCGTTTCTCACTCCGGTTTCTTCTCATTTTGATGGAACTTTCTAATGTAATAGCACATAACCGACTGTTAATGGGGATCCAATCAATTAGTGCTGCCTCAGCTCTAGCGCCTAGTGCAACACCAACGCCTGCAAGACCAGACGAAGATGCCACAGGGTCCCCGAATAAGCGCACGTGAAACAAGCTTTTCGAGGCGACAGATGGAGAGCGGATTTGTAGTACTTCACTAGAGTCTTGAATACGGGTCTCGGATAGACAACAAACATCAACATTGACTTTCTAAAGACATAACCAGCCCCATCTGTTGTCCGATCTGCATTAGTGTGCGAACGTTGAAGGAAGCCAGCTTGAACGGTTTCAGAAAGACTGCTTCAGTATTCGTAATCGGTGGAAACATTCACTTTCAACCAGACAGTGACTGGAGATCGTTTAGATAGGACAGAGTTTCCACCATGGGCGAGCTACTGCATAAGTTGGAAAGGAAGGATATAGAATTTGGGAATGAAGGGAGTGAAAAAGCGACGTAGTAAATAATAGTAATAATAATAATAATCGTGTAAATTGTCTTGCTTCTAATATGAGCAAGAATAGTATCGTCAATAGAATTCATCATTTCATTTATTTGTGTGTGGGCTGTGATACTGCCCGGGTGCCCAAACCGAAGCAGGTGGTTTTCTTAGAGGGCCGCACCCCGAGCCTTTGACCTAAAGGTCTTATCCACAAGGCAGTGGAGCATCGTAAGGAGATGCAGTCCCATGGTAACCGGTGACCAACGATTGGTTCATACGCCATTTGTTACTTCCGGATACTGGAGCCCATGTGCACCATTGGTTTGGAATCAGGGTTTTCCAACTCCCCTAGGTGGACCCTCCGTGTCCACCAGCCCGGTTAAAGCGCCGTACATTCGCTTTTCGTCCTCTCAGTTTCGTAAACAACACCGCCACGAGAAGGCAGTGAGTAGGACTTCCCTGGCAGAGGCTCTATATTCGCTGGCCATGTGAGAGGATTTCGAGAGGGAGAGTGGACTCTCCCCACTCTCGGCCGTACCAGGGCATTTGGGGGGCAATGTCAAACAAGTTAGTACTAAGGCATTAACTTATGGAGCTCACGTGGAGATACTTTTAATTCCAACACAGACATCATCACTTATGTATATTTCTTTAAACGTTTCAGCTATTAGTTCAGTCGATTTGGGCTACATCTGTCGGACATTTTCATTAGGTAAAAATAGAGTAAGATATATTTCTCTAGAACGTTTCGGATGTTCGAAGTAGCGTTGAAATTAAGCACAAATGCTGTAAACAAATGTAAATCAATTTATATCCCGATGAATATCTAGTAATTTAATAAGCGGGACCATCTAGTGTTTGCCCAGTCCATCTTAACATGAAGATTAAAATTAACACAAGGAACTTATCAAAATATTCAGGTTTTAAATTAAAATATGGTGTCAGTGTAAGTTGTCTAAAATATGTAGTGGTGAAAACTGAATTTGATTTCATGTTTTTGAAGAGTTTAGTGACATGCTAATCTGCCTCATGTATTGTTGTTAGTTTTGTTTGTTTTCACACTGAGTTGTCCACCATATTTTCACTAACATTAGTATGGATCAGGCAATTAGAATAATCTGTATATTTCATTGTCACACCACTGGATGTGAATACGGTTATTTTTGTTTTATTCAATTTTCCCAAGCATTATATCAATCATATCGTAGAGAAAATTGATGGATTAAGCAAACAGCCTAAAGAATCTCACGGTGCGGAATCTAGTCGTGTATCTGGGAAAGGCCCAGGAGCCTCTCATGTTACTGTTCATAGTGGAGATGCTGCTCATGACAGTCGTCACACTGATCAAGTTATGTACTCCTGTGGATCCTTGGCCCCAAAGCTTCAGAAAGGTATGTTAACTACTCATCACTCTTTGAGGATAACCCTTTCTTAGTAAGTCGAATTATACTGATGTTAGTTTTGGATACGATACCCGAAAATTTGTTTTAACACACAGGTCTTTATTCGTTTGATAATAAGTGATCTGTAGGCTAATTTTCCAGTCACCTATGACATTTTACTATGTTTTTCTGTGTTCATATTTTGAGTATAGGCATCTTATTTTGTTGAATAAATACCCACTCACTTGGCTAATGATCTCTTTTATTTCAAAGCATTTGGGGGCTTCAGTTTAGAATTCGTTCTCGGGAGCAGCTGTCACTCGAACACGTCATTGATCACGTTAACCTCTAGATAAACATTCTATTAACTTATTTTAGCGACCGGAAATTTCATCTGTTCAATCAATAGAAACATCTGCAGTAGTTATAATATTTTCATACTTACCTATTTAGTATATTTTTCCTGTTCCTATAATTTATGGTTGCTCAAACGTTTGTTCTGTTGTTTCATTACTCTAAGGAATCTGATAACCTTTCAAGTTGATTTACACTTTCGTTTATCTGAGTATTCGAAGTAATGAATATCAACTTCGTTACTTTTTATTTCGAATTAAGAAATATTTCCTCATTTCTGTGGTTTGATTAACTATGATGAGAAGATTTATATTTGTGCAAACTGGTGCTCAAAAAGCAATAAATCCAAAAAAAGATTTTGTCGTTGTTATAATGGTCCTTTTTACGTGATTGGGACGTTAATTTACCTTAGACGAATATTTACACTAAATTCCCTCCTAGTGTCTACGTTACAGGACATCAACACAACTCAGATCAAGAACACGTGATTAACCTGACTAAAACGTAAATATATTTCTACACCAAAACGGACACAATCCAACGACAAATGAACAATCAATCAATAATAATAAATGATAAGGATAGGGGAATAAGTAACTCACCTGACACCTGTCAGGCTATCTACATGTCTGACTAAACAGACAACCAATCATTATCATTCTCGCCCACACATCGTCTTTTTTACCTGGATGTCTTAGTGAATGTAGCCCAGTAGTTCAGGCGTATTATTTGATTACTGATAATGAATAACAAATTAAATTCTTATACAGTTTTTTTGTTCGCCCTAGCACTTGGTTTCTGTATCGTGTAACGTCGTTTACAAAACCAAAGTACATTAGTACGAAAAATATTTTTTTCATTATAGTAACTAATAGTAATATTATTGAAATTTTTATGATGCCATTCACTGTTGAACAAGAACTGTGTGATTATGGAAATGTATGGCTTGAAATCAACTGCAGCGGCACAGATGTACTTATTATTCATCTTTCCCTAAATCATATGTTTCATCGTCTTTAAACTATTTTTGTATCATAATTTCTTTATTGACATTAATATTTGATACATTCGCTATCTGTCCTACTGATCTCTCTCTGTTCTGTCGTGAAGTTTGGCATCTTAAAGTGATACACATTTGTATGACTAGTCAACTACTAAACTTGATTTGTGGTAATTTAACGATCCAGTAATAATTCTACCATAACTGTTAACAGTTTTGACCTTTAAATTCGTTTGTTTCCTTGTATCTATCAGGTGGGTATTATTTTGGTACTGTGGATCACACGGAAATAGATATTTCAATCCTGATTGTTTAGATATATTATTTTATATTGCATTTTTATGCTCATCACAATTAAGTCGTTTGACTTAAATTTATAAATAAATAAATTTTAAGAGTCAATCTTACCATGTTGATATTCTCTCACTATATTTACATACGGCTGCAAATATTTAAGGTCGAAAAGGTGGTGGTTGTCACGATGGTCTTCATCAACGTACCAGTGAACCTTGGGAAGAGGCCGACGGCGCGATTCGCTTGATTGGCCAAATATCAAACATGTTTCCAAACCGAGTCACTGATGATTTGATTGAGCAACTATTGAAGGGTTGTGAATATCGAAATTATACCCACTATCCTTATTTCTTGGAAACTGGTAAGCATAATCTTTAAAATTGTAATATTATATACTATAATCTGAGCTTAAAAGTATGCGACTAAAGAACGGTGGGTTTGGTGTTTTTGTGCAACAATATCGTTTATAGCTACAGTTTATTACATGTAATGAACCATTTTTTTCTACCCTTGAATTCATCGAATTCCTATGGATATTAAAGCTTTGAAAATTGACAAAATTCTGGTTGTAGTTCAATTGTAATTTAAATGTTACTTTGAATAACATCTTTTATAAGTGAACTACTCTGTTGGCGCTGAATCAGCCTGTAGTAGTAACCTTGTCTCAGACAATTAAACAATCCAGTACAGAGAAGACAATCAACCAAAAGTATCCATTTGAGATAAAATATCTTAGAACAGAATCCTAGGAAATGGATTATTTTGCTACTGTGATTGTTCTTAATGCAATGTACAAGTGCTTTATCCATTTTTATATTTAGCATAATAAAGTAAATATATTTTAAGTTTTGTAAATTTAGCAAGCGAAATAATTAAGTTTAATTCGTGAACAGACGCACCACGTTATTTAAACCTCCTCATCTAATTTTTTTGCACAAACACTTTTGTAGTATCGTTTAGCTCAATTTTTATTTGTTTTAAAACTGAATATGCTGTCATTCTTCTCCCTTTTAAACAATTGGTTCTCTTTTTCCAGCTTGTGATGTAATCGCACAACTGTGTAAACACCTCGAAAAACCTCGATTTAAAAAATATATGGATACGTTTCTGGAAGTATTAGCAACCTCCGTAGAAAGCAAATTACCTCTGGCTGTTAATGCTGCATCGGAATGTCTTGAGTCTATGGGAAATCGTTTTGGTCCAAGCGTGCTACGTGGTCGAATTAAAAGTCATATTAATGCATTTGTTTCTGAAAACCTAATTGATTTATTACCTCCTGTGTAACACTTTTACCATTTTGTCCAGTACAATGACTAATGACTAGCATCACTGTCTGTTTTATATGTGAATTAACAAATTTTTTATTAATCGTTTATACTTTAAACTCCTGGTCCTTCATGAAAGGAAATTCCAAAAATAAAACCTACTCAATGTAATTTTGATTACTTTTCGTCAAAACATGCAATCTGCATTGGTATATACTAATAATTTGTGGTATTGTATGAGATCAAATACTAGTCTCCTGTATTAGATATATTGTAAAAATTGGTGAATGGTGTAAATATGAGAGTCTACAGTTAGGTATTCGTACGAATAACAGTTTTCCGTATTTATATTATGTTAGTCTAGTGGAGCTCGTGACACATCAACCACTCGGCCAAAAGGTAGGATACTGTAACTTACGAGTGAATTTGACCAGCCCTCACATATTACGTGCTGTTAATGCTATAAGGACTTATAAGTGTTTGTTGGATTTCAATTTTAGTTAATTAGTATTTAATAACAAGACTAAGGAGTGAACATATATTTTGGAGAAACCCAGCTCAATATTCTGAAGAATCGACCTGGTTACTTCCGATATCATATAGTAAGAGAGCTGTGTACTCTGTTCGTTTCTTTTGTTACACTGTTTTAGTCGTTATCTTGCTTTGATTCCAGTCAAATTAGTTCTCAAAAGGTTCTGCGAGGTATTTGGAGTAGTTCGTTAAAGCGTGTATCTAGTTAGTCATTCACTTTGAAATATTCCGTTTTTGCTTAGCGTAGTTTCTATAGACGTCTATGTAGGTTAGCTATATACAAAATTTCGTGTTCAGTTCGAAAAACGATTAAATAATGTAAAAATGCTAGACAGTTTGTCCCTTGTTTCAGACTTTAAAAATATCCGTGTCATCCACCTAGTCCCATAGACTAAAAACTCACAATTTTGATAGGAAATTCAGTAGTCAATCATACAACGGGATTCATTGGACATTTTGGATTTTTAAATCTAAGTAAAGCAAGTAGTGTCGGACTAAATGTACTTCAAAGACTGCATTTAAAATCGCTTCTAAATATGGAACACTAAGGAACTAACAAGCGTCTAATTAGAGATTAACCGATGACTTGCTCAGTACACTCGGCTTATAATAAGAAGTGAGTTATTTTATGGTGTAGATTGACAAGTACGAAACAAGCTTAGCTACTTCCCATGTACGCAATTTTTCCATTTCACTTCTGAGTTGCCAAGGTGTTGGTGTAAACCAGTTCCAGGTTATGACATTGCATTTTACAGATGATACTTACTTACTTACGCCTGTTACCCCTCGTCGAGGAGCATAGGCCGCTCACCAGCATTCTCCATCCAACTCTGTCCTGAGCCTTCCTTTCCAGTTACTAATCAGCCTTTTCATATCGGCTTCTATTTCCCGGCGTAGTGTGTTCTTTGGCCTTCCTCTTTTCCGCTTCCCTTCCGGATTTCAAGTTAGGGATTGCCTTGTAATGCACATTGTTGATTTCCTTAATGTATGTCCGATCCACTTCCAACGTCTTTTCCTAATTTCCTCTTCAGCTAGAATCTGGTTTGTCCTCTCCCATAAAACGCTGTTGCTGATAGTATCCGACCAATGGATGTTGAGTATTTTGTGTAGACAATTGTTTATAAATACTTGTACCTTCCTGATGATGGCCGTAGTAGTTCTCCACGTTTCAGCTCCATACAGTAGGACTGTCTTGACGTTCGTATTAAAGATTCTCACCTTGAAATTGGTTGAGAGTTGTTTTGAGTTCCATATGTTCTTCAATTGTAGAAATGCTGCCCTTGCTTTGCCAATCCTCGCCTTTACATCTGCATCCGATCCTCCTTGTTTATCAACGATGCTCCCCAGGTACTTGAATGTTTCCACCTCTTCCAGAGTTTCGCCGTCAAGTGTGATTGGGTTGGTGTTCTCCGTGTTGCATTTGAGAATCTTGCTTTTTCCTTTGTGAATGTGGAGACCTATCGATGCGGAGGCTGCTGCTACATTTGCTGTCTTCATCTGCATTTGGTCGTGTGTATGAGAGAGGAGGGCTAGGTCATCTGCGAAGTCCAAATCATCTAATTGATTCTGAGCTGTCCATTGTATTCCGTATTTCCCTTCAGATGTCGAATTCTTCATAATCCAGTCAATCACTAGAAGGAAGAGGAATGGGGAGAGTAGACAGCCTTGTCTGACTCCGGTCCTTACTGGAAATGCACCTGTCAGCTGTCCTCCATGCACCACTTTGCACTGTAATCCATCGTATGAGTTTTGGATAATGTTGACGATCTTCTGAGGAACTCCAGTGTCGAAGAAGTTTCCATAATGTTCTCCTGTCCACGCTGTCAAACGCCTTCTCGTAGTCAATAAAGTTGACGTATAGTGGAGTTCCACTCAACTGATTGTTCAACGATGATCCGTAGTGTCGCAATCTGGTCTGTGCACGACCGATCCTTACGGAATCCAGCCTGATGATCCCTTAGTTCGGCGTCTACTGCGTCTTTCATCCGATTCAGCAGCACTCTGTTGAAAACTTTTCCTGGTACTGATAACAAACTGATACCTCTGTAGTTCTCGCATTTGCTCAGATCTCCTTTCTTTGTTATCTTGATGAGATATCCTTCTTTCCAGTCCATTGGCACTTGTTCCTCTTCCCAAATCTTTTTGAATAGAAGGTGAAGCATGTTTGCAGTTATTTCAATGTCTGACTTCAGTGCTTCTGCTGGTATATTGTCAGGTCCTGCCGCCTTCCCACTTTTGATTTGTCTGATGGCCATCTTGACTTCTTCGATCGTTGGTGGAGTGACATCTATTGGAAGGTCTGTGTGGGCTGCTTCGATGTTCGGTGGATTCAATGGGGCTGGTCTATTCAGCAGTTCCTCGAAGTATTCTGCCCATCTTTTCTTCTGTTCTTGAATCTCAGTGATTGTCTTTCCTTCTTTGTCCTTGACTGGCCTCTCTGGTTTGCTATATCTCCCTGCCAATTTTTTCGTTGTATCATATAGTTGTTTCATATTCCCTTCTCTTGCAGCTTTTTCCGCCGCCGTTGCTAGTTCTCCCATGTATTTCTGCTTGTCGGCTTTAATGCTTTTCTTCACTTCCTTGTTTGCTTCTGCGTAGTCTGCTTGTGCTTTGACTTTCTCTGCTCGTGTTCGGCTGTTGTTAATTGCTAGTCTCTTGTTCTTCCTTTCTTGAATTTTGTCCAGGGTTCCCAGAGAGATCCATTCCTTGTGATGATGCTTCTTAGGACCAAGAACCTCCTGACACGTTGAAGTAAGTGCTTCTTTTATCCCTTTCCAGTTGTCCTCCAAAGTAGTTTGATGTTCTTTCAGTAGATCCTGTAGAGCTTGGAACCTATTGTTGAGAGTTATCTTGAATTCTTGGAGTTTGTCAGTATCTCGAAGGAAGGCTGTATTAAACCTTTGTAGTGCTGTTTGTCCAGTTGTCCAGTCTTTCTTTAGCTTCAGTCTCATCTTGGCCACAACCAGGTGGTGATCTGAAGCTATGTCAGCTCCTCTCCGGGTTCTCACATCTTCCATTGATCTTCGGAATTTTTTGTTGATACAGATGTGATCAATCTGGTTCTCTGTGGTGTGGTCCGGTGAGATCCATGTAGCTGTGTGTATGAGCTTGTGTGGTAATATTGTGCCGCCTATAACCAATTTGTTGAAAGCACATAGGTTTGCAAGTCTCTCCCCATTTTCATTTCTTTCTCCTAGTCCGTGTCGTCAGATTATATCTTCATATCCTGTGTTGTCCACTCCAACTTTAGCATTTAGATCTCCCATCAGGATGGTGAGGTTCTTTCTTGAGCACTTTGCTACAATTGATTGCAGCCTTTCATAGAACTGATCTTTATCATCGTCGTTGCTATCATTGGTGGGTGCATAACATTGGATAACGTTCATTGTGATCCCTTGCTCCTTTGTTCTGAATGATGCTTTGATTATCCTGGGTCCATGAGATTCCCATCCCACAAGTGCATTTCTTGCTTCTTTGGACAGCATTAGAGCAACTCCCTGAATGTGTGGAGCATTTTCCCCTTCGTGACCGGAGTACAGCAGCATCTCTCCTGTACCTAGCCTTTGTTGTCCAGTTTGTGTCCAATGGGTTTCACTGATTCCGAGTACTGCCAAGTTGTATCTCCTCATTTCCATTGCTATTTGGCTGGTCTTTCCTGTCTCCCACATTGTCCGGACGTTCCATGTACCTATAAAGAGTGTTGCTCTGGTTGTTAGAAGGTGCATCGGTCTCGTGACTTCCGAAGAATTTCGGCTTTCATCATGAGACGTCATTATTCCTTCAACTCCCAGAGCAGAGTTTAAATGGTTTGAATTATTTTTTCTGGTTAGCGTTTTTTTAGCGAGTTAGCTTTTCTACGGGATGGGGTCGCTAACCCGATGCCCAACCCTCCTCCTTTACCCGGGCTTGGGACCGGCAGTAACTCTAGAAGAGCTACAGGCGGAGTTACAGATGATACACCCTTATCAGAATAACCGATTACAGAAGTAAGTCCCCAACAGTCGGCATCTTCACGTATTATGTTTACCAATGTGCGAATACACTCAAATAAAAAGTGTTGGAACTATTAAAGATACTATTCTTAAAGAATTCCAACGTGATGACTAGCCATAAACACTTTCATAAGAGTACAACTCCATGGCACTACCTATTGGCTGCGAGTTATACGTTGTTTTTAGGTCCATCTACTTTTGATCAGATAAGTGATCTTAAATCTGAGGAATTCATTAATACATGCTTGAAGCCCATCTCATTATGTTGTGCTCCAACTAACACGGGTTTGTGATGCTAGAAATAGTTATCTCAAGATACTTCATACCTCAAACCAAGTAAGACCCGAATACTTCTGATTTATATATCCCAGCAAGTATGTCAATTTAACCATAAATTTAAGAACATCATACTTGAAGCCCATCGAATTCCTGCTTGTTTGTTTCATTTGTAGCAGCCTTCCTAACCTCAGCGAGAGTTGGAGGTTTGACTGTAGTCAAATCTTAGGTAATTGAAGTGTAGCGAAAAGTAACTCGCTACCGAGTGCTTGAATATGAACCATATTGCATGTGAGGGCTAATGATACTATCCAGTCAGGTCAAGGTAGGTGGGGTGTTGTTTGGATGCCCTAACCACGGAGTGCTAAATGAAGTGTAACTTTAAGTTTACCTCTGTATATTTAACTATGATAAACGTCAAACAGCCTATTTCAATATTCCAGTCAAGCTTCAGTTGAATGGTATCTAGAGAACGATAACAGTGAGCCACAGACGACTTTTTGTAATACCTAAAACCTGTCTTTACTAACCCCTTCTCTGAGCGGGAAGACGCTAGCTATAAATGTCGGACAGCCAACCACGATGACACAAAAACGGAACTACAGATAAGGTTATTATTAGTTATCCTCCGATGACATAAGTTAAATCGGTCCTGTGTGATAGAAATTCAGTCTTAAATCGAGTAACCGAAAGATATCGTTTCTGACTGTATCAACAGACTAAAATAGTTTGAGTCCACGGAAAAAATCGTCTTATCGAAGGTTATGACCAAGCTATAATAATGAGCTTCGACCAGCAAGAATAGCTTTTTGATGAATGCTAACAACTATTACAGTGTTTTGTGCAGTGTTCGAATTCTAAGTATAAAGCAGGTGACCAACCATTAGAAAACAAACACGTATGTATTTACAATTTTTCAAAATATGCTCATAATACAATTTTATACCACCACTTCATTATTACGAAGAGTTGTTTAGAACAAGGGAGAGGTATGTAAATTTGTTCATTTATTGAGAATCATGGGCGCGAACTTTAACGGGATTAGACGTACTAGAATACAAGGGTAGCATATTTGCAGACTCCGTGGCTCTAAGAACTTTCCTCAGGAACTGTAAACATTCTAATTTTTCGGTAGATTCAATATCTTGCCGTGAGATTTTTGAAATGGATTGTTCTAGAATGTTTAAAACCGGTTCTAATAAATCTCTTTGTTCTCTAACATAAACTTTGAATTCCACATCTTGTTTCACCAAACATTGCATAACATTCCACATAAAATCCCTGATTTTGAAAAAAATAAAAATAAGCAAATTTCAGTATACAATCAGAATACCAGTGACAAGATAACAAATATTCATCATTAAAATAAGATGATAAATCCGTCTGGACGTGACGGAACGTGACATATCAAGTTACCATGGATTAGAACTTTTTTTAATGATTCAAATAATTTCTATCATAGAAATTCTTCCATCGTTCAGAGCTTATCTGTGAATTTTAAAAATAGCTAACGATTATTTATTTTGCAATTTCATACAATTTAGATGACAGATTAATTACGTCTGTTACTACCTTAGATTTAAGAGTTATGCATTATGCAATGAACTAAAAAAAACATCGTTTTATTCTCTATGGTGGTTGAGAATCCATAATGATTATCCCAGTCTTTTCAGGTAATTCAAATTCACTAACTAATGAATAAATTTCCATCTATACAAAACTGTACATTAGAAATTAGTGTATTAATTCACTTCATAATTATTACAAGACATGATGGTATAAATATATTTGAAAATCTCGTATCTATTATCCTTCTAAAAGTCATTGCAAAAAATTTAATACTGACGAAAGTCTATTTCAAATCAAAACCACAGAGGGATAATCAATTGGAAGTTACTGCAAAACAATTCCAGTATGAAGTTGAATTTTTTAGTAAAGCAATCACTATTAAAAATACACATTTAATAAGATGAAATAAAATAATGAACATACAGTTGTATAAAATCATCTTCTTTCAATAAAATATATAATCCTTTTGTTGCCCATTCCCAAGTTATCATATTATGACTATCAGCATAACTAAACCAATCATATAATGTATTAACTAATTTTGTTTTCCATGTTAAGTATTCTTCACGATTAGTTTTATTATCACTATTATATTCAGCAGATAATTGATCAAAAATTGGGAAACATAATTTTGTACTTTCGTTTATCATAAATTTAACAAGTTCGTCGTATTTTTTCACAGTTGATTGATCGATTTTTAATTTATTGACGTCATAATGAGATCCAGTATTTGTAGAAACATCATTGATTGTCTTTATTAAATTATCTGATCTTTTTAAAGCATTTATTATTTTCATAGACATATCTAATGCATCCTTTGGATTAATAGTAGCCCATTTGTACACTATATGTGTTATCCGTTCAATGATGTTTGGATTAAAACGTAAATAATGAGAGAATTCAATATTCAACAAATCATCTAATATTCTGCATAAGTAACTATATGTGGTTAATTTTATTGAATGAATTTGTTGCTGATTATATGTTTTTTTTCTTGAAGGGATTTTTAGTTTTTGTACAGTATAATTATCGCATAAACGTAATATACGGTCATAATTTCTGACTAAAGTTGTCAGTAAATTGTTTGACGGTAAAACCACATCAAAATACTGACAATAAGTTGTATTAAAACGTTGAATTAATTGATTAAATTCATTTAAATCAGATTTATTAAACTGAATCATTAATTTACAATAATCATGTAAATAACTTCGTTTCATTCGAATATTAGGCAATAAAAATGTTCTATCTTCATGATGAATTAATAAATTATGGATTTTTTGACCTAATTTTACATTTAATTCATTCATTGCACATTTCATTGCTATTGGAAAAAACATATAATCATCTATTGTCCATGCATCGAAACGTTGAGGTGATCGGCCTATACCAGAATTATTATTATTAAAATAGATTTCTATTTCATTTAATAGTTCATTCAATAGATTAGAACAAGTATATGATGAATGATCAGTATGATCATTGACCAAATTATTATTATTCTGTTTATTTATCATGGATTTAGTTATTGTCGATGTGGAAGATCGATTTAGAGGTGCTGGTGTTTCGTTAATTAGAAACAACAAATTAGCTAATGTACCAAGTTCAGGTTTAAAATTTAATCGTTTTAATTCATTTAATAAGCCTAAACCTATTGAAACATAATTTTCATCAGATAAATGTAATGTTGATGACATTGAATATTTCATTTTAGCACTTGTATGTGCAAGTGTATAAAGAATATTAGTAAAAATTGAAATATTTATTGGATCTCCACATGTTTCCACATGTTCTAAAATATTTACAATTACATTCCAAAGTTTTTCTTCACCTCTCATTACAATTGTTAATTGATGTAGAGAACGAATTAATTGATTGTAAGTGGCTAGATCAAGATATTTATCGTCATGTTTTGATTCCCATACAAGTTTAGTCAATTCGAAAGCACGATCAGCATTACCAAATCTAGCTGCACCACGAATCATACTTCGATAACCTGCTGGAGTATTGAGAATGTTATATTCTTTATGAAACAATTTCTCTGCAGGTGTATCTAAATCCCAATTATTAGATTCTTCTACTAATGATATGGAGTCCCCTGTAAACTCATCGTTGATTTCGTCATTTGTTGTATTTTCCAACTCGTTTCGATTGGTTATTATTTGTTTATCATGATTAGATGTAGTAGTAATATCAAAACGGTGAGTTATATAGATTTCATCTGGATCTGGAAGATTACTCCAATTATAATTATTTAATAATACATGGGAATGAAATCCACCTCGACCACCATTTGTAACACATAAAAGGTCAAGCAAACGATGCAAAGTATTCGATGTCCATTTGTAATCCTAATATATGCATACAAAATATAAATAACATGAGAACCATACGGAAAATTTTAACACAAAAAAAGTAAATAACCTTATAGTATATGATTTCGAGAAATATTTAATTAGAACATACTTTTTTAAGTTACTGATTTGTTTACTTTTGTAGTATATATGAGATTTGCTAAATTAGTATAAATGTTAAACTTGTGCTAGATGAACACTCAAAGACTATTGTTAGTATAATACTTTAATCTTACTAATATTAATATACTTTACACTCTTGCATTATCCTAGTAACAGATATTTGTAGCTTAGTGTGTAGATATATCATTGACATGTTTTTTTAAACAGATAATATAAGCATTTTAATCAAACGAATAAGCACTCTGATATATTAATTATCAGAAGGGGTTGAAGTTAGACATTAACACCGTTGGATGCCAGCTCAGTGGTCTATCGGTTAAGGGCTTCGGCTTGAGACTGGTAGGTCCTGGGTTCGAATCTCGCTCACGTGAGCGGGTTCGTGGATGCGCACTGCTGAGGAGCCCCATAATAGGACGAAACGGCCGTCCAGTGTTTCCAGGTTTTCCATGGTGGTCTAGCTTCAATTGACTCATGATTTCAACTCTGATATATATTAATTTATAGAGTCAATAAAATCCAAATCATTTCAAGTAATTATAGTTAACTTTTTATATGAAGCAATTAAACTAGAAGAATATTGAGGCGTAGATCAGTATATAACTACAATTTTGTATAGCAGACAATTAACTACACCTGGCATGTGATGAGTAATGAGGGAGGAATTGAAGAAAAACATCAAAAGATATATTTACAACGGTGATTTTCCCTTATTTCATATTTTATAAAATATTTTATCTCACAATATATATGATATAGAGAGAAATATGGTAGATTGTATTTCATTTTCCACGGGGATGAATACTAACGTAACCCAGCCTCCGAATGCCAGAAAGATGATGAAGGAGCAGAAACCACTTCGGTATCTCCCCTAGGTCAGCTTAGCGATATGTTTTAAAAAGAAATAGATAAAACCAGGTCAGTAAGCAATCTGAGTTGTAGGTATCATCAAAAGAACTTAGAATTTAAAAACTTGTTGAAATACTTTGTGCAATCAGAGAACAGATCGCTTGAAAACTGAAGCAGTAATGTTCACTCCGAAATTAAGAACCAAGGTGGTTTTACAATCAATGACAATGGGTTAGAGGTTGTAGTGCTTAACTTTTAAACAATACGTTGGACATCTGAATATCGTACTGTTCAATTCAGTTTGGACAGATGGGTAGTGTCAATGACCCCTACAAAATAATGCGAATTAACGCTTAGTACATAAACGTACACTTGGCAAATGAGATGTATTTACGAGTAAACCATAGAAGTATGTATATTTATTTCCGAGAAAATGGACAGTGGCTAACAGTGCAATTTAGGACGCACTTTTCGTCTTATTTTGCATTCATCACCGGGTGCGTTCGCGTCCTCGTGTTCATGTTCACATTGAAACGCGAACTCAATACCATTTTCTTTGAATGCCTGACGCTTTGTTTGCTGAGCCATTGAATCCAAATAGTCACAAGCTTTTACAGCAGGGATGAGTTTACTATTTACTTGTAAGTGCTTATATCTTCTCATTGTTGATGTTAAGGAGTGAAAATCAACAACAGAAAGGTTCAAACTTTATAAATTAGGTATATTAATTTTGTTGCTGTGATATACACACTTACAGGAGCTATCTCTTTATATAATTTCCACGAATGTTCAGGAGCAAGAAGTAAAATCAACCGATCCATAGCTTCATCATTGCTTAATGATCCTTCAACAGCACGCTTCAAAATATTATCTGGAGTTTGTATAGGTATCCATCGATTAATAAGTGGAGCCTGTAAACGAAAAGAATCTCAATTTAAAAATGAATTATTTCAGTTGATAATAAAGCGCAAATCAATCTTAGTAAAAATTACAGACAACAGAACTTGCAAATATTTTCCTAACAAAAAAACTAATAAAGAACTGGTATATTTATTTTTATTCAACATTACAACAAAAATCACTAACAGTTGGCTAGAATTAGGATGAATAAAAATACTTCAGAATGTTCAAAATTAATGAATGAGTGAACCCCTAACCTGGTGGAAAATAGATGAAAATTTACCATCGACTGAGTATAACTGAGAGAATCACAGTTCGAGGATACATTACATTTCAACTACGATACATTGTTGATGTTAGTTTTAATATATAAACCATAGATTCTATAAAATACAAATACTCATCAAGTTTATCTTTCGTGAAATTACTAGGTATAGAAATGAAAAAGATAATCTTACTTACTTCTGTACCTAAAGCTGTAATATCATTTGGAAAAAAATCTCTGGCAGATACTCTTGCGGCTAAACGACCTTTAGCTTTTGACAACATACAAAGACGTGTTCTTGCGGTCGGTAAACGACTAAAATCTGGACCTAAATCGAAAATTGGAGCTTCTGGAACAGGTTGCACACATGAAATTAATGCACGTATAACAGAAGTAGAATTCCTGTAGCGTTTCAAAGGTGGGTTCACATCAAGTGAATTCTTTTCTCCCTTCAAATTTAAGGATGACAACTTGGAAAAATAAGTTTTAAATAAGGAATTTCTTGTAATTGATGATGCATGAGTTACGCAAGAGTAACGTAACATATCTGTGTACCTATAGAGAAACAAATAATACAATAGGGTGACGTGTAATAAAGGCTCGAATATATAAATGAATAAATGTCTGTAAATAAAGATACATGTTCTCATTTAATCGACTACATGAACGTAGTCCAAGAGTTACACAAAATAACAACTTATACAGATGGTTAACGGTTAAATGATTATATTTACTTAATTCTGACTATTAAAACAATGTCGCAATATCGTCTTTGGGCATCAAGCTAATTTGTATTATTTTATTTGACAAATCGGTAAATTGTAGTCATTTAGGTAATTTATGTTTTTACTTATAATAATGTACAGAATCATGGTATTATAATTATAAATTTGAGGAAAGAATAACTCTACATGATCAGTTGCTTATAAACTCCGGTATAGTACACCTTCAAAACTTCTCGCCCTACAAATAATCTGCTAACAGATGATTTATGTGAAGTTGTAATGATTAGTTTACAATCATATAACAACTGGTATCAACAATGCTTCTTCAAAATCACACACCACTATTAATGAGATGCGTTGTGAAAATTAGTTTGGATTGTAAATCGTATTCATCACAGATTGGCAGCTAGAATACTATCGAAAACCAGAGGTCATAGGGAAACTGTTTTATTCTATTATGAGATCCCTTATCCTTGTGTGCTAAAGGTTTTCAAAACAGTCTTAACTTAATCCATAAAGAATACTACTTGCACATAACAAGTAAATATAAGAGATATAGATTTTTGAATTGAATTATTTGTTTATTCACTGCACAGAAATCAAAATACAGTGGACTCATACATCTAAAAAAGTGTATCATTCAACTCATCAATACATAAAGATAGTTTCCACTATAAACTTATAATAATGGAAGAATCCGTTTGCGACTTCTTCTGTACAATGCTTGTGCGGGAATCCTCGAAACAAAATGAGTATATTATCATCAGTGAGTTCCAGTATAATGATATTGTCCTTTTTAAGTTTTAACTAACTACTAGTATTAAGACGGACGATGGTAATTCAATGCTAATTTTTCACCAATGGAAAACACGCTCTTTACTGATTCTTTGAACTAACGATTATTTCCTAAGAAAAAAACAACCTCTAAATTAACTAATTCTTTAGAAGTGTACACCTTGTTACAGGAATTTATTCCCAAAACATACAAAACAAGTATTTACTATCAGGATTCACAATATCATTATAACAGTTAAACTGGTAAACAGTCATTTTAATAATAATAATAATGACAGTGTAAATATCTAGAAGAAACATTACAAAAATATGTTTGACAGAGAACAAGGAATAAAGATAATTATCTTAGTAGTATAAACAATGTAATGCACAAACAGAAAAATGTGCATATTATTATTTTTATTCGTATCATCATTTTCCTCTTAATGAATGAGAACGTAAATTAGGACCAGAATTTATTCTCTTTAGGCGCATAGCAATTGAACGTGTCATACGAATATTTTGATCAAGACTACCTTGTGTAGTGCTAACAGTATTAGTAGTTGTTGCATTTAATGTTGTTGTGGTATGATAATTAGTTTTCAATTTTTCACTTAATAATGGAGCAGATCGAGTAGCATGTTTAACTTGTGATTGAAATGTTACATCTGTTGATGGATAATCAACAGAGTTATGTTTGAATTTTGTTCCTGTCACTGTTGTTGGAGATATTGATATTATGACAGTTGAAGGTGTTGTTGTGATAGAACTTGTCAATGATACATTTGTGTTAGAATCCTTGTTTATGTCTTTTAGATTAACACTTATTATTGGTTGAGAATTTGATGTTACTGTAGGTGATTCATTTGATGAATAGAGTGGTTTTGTTATCAAACGAGATAATTCTGATGATTCAGATCTCATAGTTAAATGATTTTTAGAAGTATTTCGTGTTGTAGGCCGTAGTGATTTATAACTAGTAATATTTGTTAACGGTTCTGTATCGCTGGAAGATTCAGATATTGTAGTATTAACCGAGGATTGTTCCAACTTATTTGACACTATAATTAAAAAAACATGTATGTATACATAAATAAGAAATCATCGAGCTAAATAAAATAGAAAAAATTAAAAAGTGTCTGTAAATTAACAATTTTTTATGAGAAATTTATACTTTAAGAGATCATTATTAGGTGACTAGAAAAAAAATAATAAAAAGTGGTGATTATTAATTGTATGGAAGAATTAGAAGGTAGCTAGTAGTCACTGAAATTTGGTGAACATTAGACAGCTATCATTAATAAGCTTTTGACGGTCGTCCTATATCTGGTAATACAATTTCATATAAAGTTAAAACAATAGCATTTAAAATCCTGTGATGAATACATTATAGTTGGTTCACTTCTCATAAATCTAATGAATATGATTTTTAGAATTCAACCAGTTGGTACACGCAGACTGAGTGAAGCTGAACTCGTAAACCACTGGAACCCCGTTGTTGTTCTGAAGTTAGAGATTTGAGCGTGAGACCGAAGATCCTGGATTCAATCCTCAGTGGTGAGTCTTGAGCGCGTACTGAAAAGAAGTCCCACATTAGGACAGCTGTCCAATGCTTCCAGGTTTTTAGTGGTTGTCTAATTTGGATTGGTTAGTGATTTCAATACGAAAGTTGGTAATACGTAGTTTGAACATTAACATGATAAATATACATATTTATTTAATCTTAGTTTAGTTGATTCTACAAGTTATAGTTTAGGGACTAATGAGCACTGGGTTACTGTCATAGTGGTTAACTTGAAAACAAATATCCGATCTTGCCTACATTTATATTACCTTATACACATTATAATATGTGTTATTAGTATCTACAAAACATATATGATTGACAGTTTAATACGCAAAACTAATTTCATCTAGTTATTGAGCTGTGCTTACCACTCCTTCAATAACACATCCCATTACTATTGTATACTCTTTTCGGGTTTTTCCAATACAGAAAACATAAATAGGTATTTGATATTTTCTAGACATTTTAACAGATAGGCTTACTCATTTTTTGTGATAATATAAATCCTTTTACAGGATAATTAGCTTTACTAACGAGATCACGAAACAGATTCAAGAGAGTTGTATAATTATTGAGATACCCATCAATCTATTAGACTGATCATCCAAACAAGATTCGTTCTTATCCGACTAAAAGATCATGAAAATTACTCGTAAAAAGGGAAACATCTAACTAGATCAAAGTTTTAAAAACTTTACTGAATGGTAATATAAACTAGCGTGGATTTCATTCAGCTTTTCAGACTAAATCGAACTGGGCAACTTACAAACTAAGGAGTAGCCGCTCAACAAAGAACACATTGTGCTAGGAATTGGAATCAGACAACAAAAGCATGCTCTACGAGGGGTAACAAGAGTAAGCAAAGAAGAAAACCACCACACACACACACCATAAAGTGTAGCCAGAAACATTTAATTGGTAGACGAATTAAACTAATTAATTTACTACGATACCAGTGGATATTTACTCGTTGACTTGACCAATTTATATGGACATAAAATACAAAAATTTCACATTAGGAAGTAATTATGAAACATAGTTAACAAATCAATCTCCATATGATTTTCCTGAAAATATCTTCCCTAAAATTTGACTACCTGAACGCATATCCTTTTCATGTGACCAGCTTTTACTAAACCAAAATTTCGAAGTTCGATCAAGATAATGAATAAACATGTACAGATGTCGATGAATTATAGCACGTCGACAAGCTGTTAATTGCATACCATCCAGTAATGTTGGAAGGATAGCTACAAAATAATGTTTCAGTAATAAAAAACAAAACTTTCCATTACTCAAATTAACAATGTTCGGATTAAAAAACGCAAGGAACATTAATGATAAATATCTGGATTTATTTATAGTACACAGAACTAAGTAGCTGAGATTTTTGATTGATATTTAGATTTACATGAAAAGCTTGAGTATAAAAGTGAAGAAGTTTGATACCGATAGATGAACATGTGTATTGTAATTTAAATGTAATTAAGACAGATAATCACCAATTTTATCCTACAAATAATAACATTAATGTAATTCAATAGTCAAGTACAAATAAGTATATCCCGTTTTGAGCTGAACATTATATACAAAGATTAGTGATGCTACTCAGTTGCATAAACGGAAGTTAGTTGGGGTAGATATGAAAAATTAAAACTAAAATCATACATAGAGTGGGTTTTGAAAAAAATTGAAAACTTGATAACAACTGTCACCAGTCTAGTGTCATACGAGATGTACAATGATTCAAATATTTAAGTACGTGGCATGAACAAACATAAAATGGATGGTAATATAGATTAAATGTACAAAATTCACTATTTATTATGTTTCGTTTTTCAATGTTAGTTTACTTCTTTAACTCTTTATTTTCTGCTCTACAAATAGTTATTACTGAATTTTTGATTGTTCCAGATTAGTTCTTTTTCTTGTGTTAATTCAAATTGTAGAAATTAAACTGATACAAAAACTTGTTTGATTTTATGGTATTCACTCTAATTGAAAAAAAAAATATGGGTTACAGAACAAATATTGTGTCCATAACTTAACAAGGTAAGTTGTAACTCTCAAATGGAGCAAACATAACCTTTTAGATCAGACAAGACTGTTGGGCAGATTTGTTCAGTAATACAATATAACATTTAAAACATTGGATAAGCTGTATCAATCACCAGTCGGTTACGTAGAATCAAATCGTGAGATAATAGTATCAAATGTTGTTACTACTTCTACTACTATTACCAACACCACAAATTTATCTTGTGATGTTAAACGCGTAAAACGCATGTTACCAAAGTTCTTAATGACTCTATGCAAAATTAACAAAGATACAACAACACGTCCACCACCAGCATCAACAATAACAACGGTACAACTATGGAAAGAGTAAATGAAATCGAAAATAACATATGGAATTTCTTTTGAAGGCAATTCATACAGTAAATGCAACTACAGCTGTTGAGTATATATACTAGAGTCTCGATAGGTGATTGAAAGTTGGACAAACAAATCATACAATATTGTTACATATAAACCTAATTTTTAAATAATCAAAACTGTGAGACAAAAAAATTAATCAATTTGCAGATAACCTACTGATTAGTCTTAAAAGGTAGTAAGGAGGATAATTTAAACACGGTAATCGTGGGTTTTTTATAACTTCTGAATTTGGAAGCAATTCATATCGAGGTGAAGAGAATCGATAAACAGAATGAATATCATTTGGTCCATGATGATAATTCACACTGAATGCTTGACCATCTTCAAACAAGTGACCATTGAAACTGATATAGTATAGAAGTAAAAATTAATGAAAATGACTCATTAAATATATGTTTATTTAAATTGTATCACTAGTAAGTAACTATATTATACGTATATTCATATTCCTTTTCTTATATGCTTTTATTTGACCTATTGGTTATTATTATTATACGATTTACTAATGCTAAGATATTCCCAATTTATTAGTAAGTCTCTCACAATCACAGCCACTTTTTGGCTTGATCTTATATAATTGTTATTTTCTATTTCATGGTATGATGTGTTCCGATTTCTTTGTGTATAAACCCAGTATGTCTGAAATATTTGATTCGTATAGCAGAGGTTGATACTAGCGTTCTGGCGGGATTAGGAGAGAAGCTTCTATCTCGGAGGACCAATAGGAACTATAGGTTGCTCGTACTAGTCTGTGCGTCATTAGTTGGAACGCATAACTCGGTACCTAATTGGCGATCTTATCACGTGATACATAAACCTGGGTATAAGAGCATAATAAGTCAGTTTACACAAACAAAGTATAAAAGAAGTCGTTGATTACAGTTTATGTGTTCATAATAAGTGAGAGTACTTTCTATGACTGGATACCAAGAACGTTTATGTGTTCCTTATGTTCTCCTTCTATTTTCGATTCCAATTTTTCAGCCTATGATAAATATTGACCTCTTTATTAATTAATTGTCCGAAATTATCAAGTGAAATAAAATGAGATTCCTAAAATTTGTAATCGAAATAACCTTATATTACCACTCAATATATGTATAATTCTTACTGTAAAATCATTGTATTTTAACCAACGATTTGATGAAACCCTAGTGAAAAATACATATTTGCTCAATAAGATGTTATTACAATTATCATAACTTTTCAATATCAAATAAAATAGTATAGACTTATAACGAATGAATCGAGTTGCAGTGGGTTTTTCTTATCAAACTAATAAACGAACACAACAGCCACTTATTACGAAATTCGTACTAGTGGTGTATACATGTTACATTTAATTCAGAGATAAAACACAACTGATTGATGTCTAAGCGTTTAATACTTAGCTTACAATTTAGACTTTATAAAATGAGTTGTTTAAACAAAAACGTACATCATATAAGTAACTTAATATGGGACAAAACTTTACCACCTTCGAAATGTAACGATAGTTGCTTTAAGTAGGGAAACGACCACAAAAAAGGGGATAACCTTTCAAGTGATAAAAGGTTGGGATTACAGCGATACTTTAAAACTCCATCAGTGTAGTCTAATCATTGACAATGAAAATAAATGCAGCATAAGCCTAGGTGCGAACTTGTTTATGAATTCATCGGCTTTTTAAAACGTATATAATATTATCCAGCAATCAATTCATAACAATTTCCCACACTTATTTGGTGAGAGTGGAATTATTATTTATCTACTGAATAATAACAAGTCGATGCTCAAAATACTGAGCACTTACTTTTGTAATAATTTCCCGAAAACCTTTGAATTTAACCGGGTTATTCGAAAATAAAGAGGCCTAGATTAAAATGATGTGTTAAAACTGTGAGACTTAATACATTAGAATAAAATTAATTCGAATTATTAAAAAACAAAAACTTACTCGTTTGTAAAATATAATTTTTCATTAGGAAGTAGTAGATAGCTATTTACAGTAAAATCAAACAATATGCGTAGGCTAGAACAAACCTCTGCACAAATTAACCGGTTTCGATCAGTTAGTGAGAATAAAGGATTCATGATACGTGAAACGCGATCTGAAATAATTCCTTTGAAATGAATAAAATCAAGAAAAACTTTTATAATCTCTCATACTGAAGCTTAAAGAAAAAAAGGGTTTTTTCAATTATTGAACAGAGTAATAGTCAAAGACGGATATATTACTAAACTAACAGTTCCTAATGCCATCATTTTTGCAAAACTGAAACACCGAAATATTAAAATAAGCCTGTAAAATTACAGTATACGTTTAATAAAAGTAGTAAATAAATAATATAATGAAGAAATGAAGTTCAGGTTTGTGTACTTTGTTTTGAATTGTACTTATTGTCAGAGCTAGTGTTCTTACTAGTCAGGTACGCAAATCAATGTAAGTAGAGTGAGGTTTGAATCTACCGTCAAACGCTTTACGTTTGTGTGTCACTGCTATAGTACAGGTCAAACTCAACATACAGCTTGAACGTAAAATAAGAGTCAACGACCAGGAAAACGAAAGCGCGACACATAAGAACTACTACCGATACGGACTTGTAATTTATTTCTGCTTACATAAACTGGGATGAAAAATCACAATAAGTGGAGATTAAAAAAGAATGTATATTCCCTTTTAAATGTTTGTTATTCGGAGGTTTGAATAATCAACTTTTACCTATCATATCACATGTCTAAACTTCAATATAACTATTTTGATTTGGGTAATATATTTTAACAAGCAACAGATACAGGTTTTTCTAAAAGTAATTAAATCACGCTGTTTCGTTTAATTTAAATAGCATTACATTATCAGAAACAACGTTATCTTCCAACAAGTGACTAACCAGTTCACGAAGCTGATCAAAAGGCTAACTTACCACTTGAGGAACTACTACACCCAAGCTCAGCACTGATATTCAATTCACTGTATGGGAATCCATCAACATACTTTTGGAGCACTTGAAGAACTGAACACCAATACTGAAATACCTTGGGCACATCTATTCCCACATCACTAGCATCGGTATGACATTTCAATATATCTCTAAGGTTTTTGGGGAGATCTAAAGGAACCATATAAGGTTTGTGTATCTGATATAAACGTTCCTGATTTTTATGAATTTACCTGAAGCTGTTCAAACTGTAATTGTGTTATTTCCTCTTGATCCAGAATGGAAGCAAGGACTGGATCTAAAAATGGAATATTATCACCAAAGGATGTTGAACTGATCAATGGTTTCCCTCTATTGCTATCACTTGAGATAGAACGATGATAAGATTTGTTTGATTTGGATCCTTTCCAAATGCCAGGAACTGTTTCCCAATCAATATCATCACCACTTAAAGCTGCACCCTCCAGAATCATATCGATGCGTTGTTTACGCTGATGTCTTCCATGTACCTTAACAAGAATAACAAGATTACAGAAAAGTTACATTTTGGGCAACTTCATCAATTTTTCTTTTTAATATTCGATTGAATTCATTGTTTTCAAGAAGCAAATCTTCTGAAACTTCACGATCCCACTTACACTTCCAACCGTGAAAATGAACACCGTAATGGGGAATTTCTGTATCTTTTCGAGAAACATGTTTTAATACCTGAAAATTAATTTAAAAATCAAATATATTACCTTCGCAAAATAAATTAGCTTAGCCTTAGAACTGTCAGGTTCGAAACACAACAGCTTTTGCCCAATATCATAACGATGTGGACGATTGTCCATATTAATACAAGTAGTCTGACATACGAATCCAGGAATTTCATGTAGGGACTGTAGATTAATGAAAATAGCAATGGTAGACAAATCATAGAAATGTATGGTGACTATAATGAAACATTGCACTTGTTACAATTTCAAACAACTACGAATGTGGTTTATGATGTAATTAAAAGTGAGTGAAAGCACTGTGAAGTAAAGAACTACGGTACGAATGTGCATAACTTTTAATTTATTATCTCATACAAATTGAAACACCTTATGAATAATATACAGAATAACTTAATAAATAGTGTGAACACATACTTAAAAATGGATGTTTTTAGAATATATAGACAAAAGATGATCAGAAAATCTGTTCCTTTCGGATTTTCAGCCACTTTTAAGCCAAACTGGCTACCAATGGTCTTCGAAATGTAAGAATAAAGATTTATTGAGAAGCGTATCTAAGACTCCATATTTTATCAACAATTCAAGAGACAAAGAATGTCGGATGTTGAAAATTCCATCCACCTAATTAACTAGAGAGATGCTTTGGAGACTTAGCTTCAAAGAACAGTAACTACGATAATTAAGGCGTAGTATAATCTTTTATAACACCAAACGCTCAGATGTGGTGATGGTATCGGTTGATTTCAATGGCCAGGTAGGAAGTTTAAACCAAATTAGAAGGCATTTAAATGGATCTTAATGTGTTAAGGCTTAATAAACACATAACAATGACCAGCTGCTTCAATGATGTTCGGATAACTGTTTGTTTCTAGCAAACACCAACTTTAACCGTAAGGAAAGACGTGTTTGCCTTTCCCACTGGACACAGAAAACCCACAGTGAAAAAGCCAATAGAGTTTAGCTTAACAACGAAAAAGTCAAGAATATATCTCAGGAGCAATTATAGGGGCAGTTGGTCAATCATAAAACCGATATTCACACTGATGCAGACTGGCATAATATAAAAACAGCTGTAGAAACACCAGCAATATCTGCCAGTAACTTAAACCCAAAGGCTAAGAAAGGCCAATGAATTTCTGTAGCGTCTACTGAGCTAACAAATGTTCAGAAACGCGTGATGTCAGGCTCGTGTCATGGTGAGAAGCGAACATGGCTTAAACATAAACTAAGAAAAGCCAACGCGATGATCGTGAGCAGTGCTTAGCAGAGAAAGCAAAAAAGTGGGAAAAGCAGAGGGAATAGGCAACACTAGATAATTATTTACATTTATCAAAGAAACAAGTATTGAAAATCCGGCTGCAAGTGAGAATATTTTAGAAAAAGATGGAACTATTATCCACTCTCAATGCGTGAGATTAAGTTGATAGGCTGAACAATGGAGAATAGTTCATATGCCCATCAACCACACTTTAGTTTCCCATCGTTCATAAGCGAATTGACACAATACCTTCAACTCTTAGGTTGAAGTGGCTGTAGGTAATCTAAAGTAATAAAGAAAAGCAGATGCAAACAGATTAGTCCGGGGAAACACTTAAAGATGGTAGTCCGGTTTTGAGTTAGGTCGACTGAGATCTTGGCTAGAATTTGGGAATCATGACAAACTTATGTGCTTGATCTTGAAGGCTGATCATATTAGACTATAATAAACAACAAAAATCCTCGTGGTAGTCACAGAATCATTTTGACGGTCAGTGTCAAAAATATTAGCCTCAATAATCGTCGGACGCCTAATTATGGTTCATAAAGAGTAAAGCTAAAACAGCCAGGCTAATTTCAAACACGTGAGTGTATCGACCGTATATTCATCCCTCATTCGGTCCCGGAACATAATTCCCGACACACGACTGTAGCTGTATACCTTGACCCTCAGGCAGCGTTTAGCTTCATCGAGAGATTCTATGGTGATATCCGTCATTAAAAGAAGTGAGTAGGAAAGGTGCAAAAATCTAAAATTACTGTCAGTAAACCGCCAGAATCATCTGCAAAAATATTTCGAGGTCCAAAAGAAAACTTTATAAGTCAACTTTCACTATCATTAACAAAACGGCCAGACTATAACTTATCGACAGACCACTTAAAGTAAGGATAAAGGTCTTGAATTTCGTTGAAAACTTTACGCAACCATATAGTAAAATAGAATTTTGGCATGATAGCTGATGTCAGTTCCTAATGAAGACCTTTAATTTGATTCATAAACCTGAATTATGACTCCAGATCCAAAATCTGATTGTCCATGCTGACTCAACCCTCATTTGGCGCTAGAATTGTCTTGAGGCTATTTTACCATTGTTCAGTGGACGTCCATAAATTATAGTCTCACCAACAAAACCCCCCAGGCAATCAATAAAGGTAAAATAAAGGCGAACAAAAGGCAAATATAGCAGAAGAAAGCGTAAGTAAAAAAGAAATGTCGATTTTCCCCCTTATGCCGTGTGCTTGGAGAAAATTTGTAGACAAAATATGTAACGTACAGCGTTTAAATATGCCGCATCCCGTACTTCAGTTTCAGTTTGGAAAGGACAGGAGGCTTGATGGCCTGTGTTAGTCCTGGCAATGATGGTCTCTCAGCTGATACAACTTTCTTTTGAAGGAGTCGACGGATGGAGCCTCAACCACGTGCTGAGGTAATGAATTCCACTCGTTGATTATTCGATGGGAAAGTCGGTAGTCAGCTGACAAGTAATTCGTTCTGGGCATGTGAACTTTTTTGGAGTGTTCTCGTAGATTTTCTGTTTTGGAAGACAAGAAAAATGAGGGCATATCAGGTGCAAATTTGTCATTAAGCAATTTGAAAACTGTAATCAAGTTGCCTCTGATTCTTCTATATGACAGCGGGAATAGGTTTAGCTTGGTCAGTCTAGTACCATACGGGAGCTTCGCTATTCCGGGAATCAGCCTAGTTGCTGTTCTCTGAACCCTTTCTAAGAGTTCACTGTCTTTTTTTAGGCAAGGGCTAGCTGCTTGTATACAGTACTCAAGTTTAGGGCGTACGAACACTGTATACAAAGTCAGAAACGTTTTAGCGTCGAGATGCCTAAAAGCCCTGCGTATGGACCATAAAGTTCTAAAACCTTTGGCGGCTATTGCACCGCAGTGTGCAGTAGTCTTTAAGTCTTGACTAACGATGATGCCTAAGTCATTGTGTGCCTGAACAATAGGTAACTCAGTGTTATTCATCGTGTATGTATCTGTACCCTGGTGGCCAATATGCATCACAATACACTTGGAAGTGTTTATCGGCAATTGCCAGGTTTGGGACCATTCAGATAATCTCTCCAGGTCATTTTGAAGTTCTAAGCTATCGCCCTTGCTTTGTATCGCTCTCCAAATTAACGTTCTGACTTTAACAATGATTTGTGTTGAATCGATAGCAGTCAACACAGAAAATAATTTTAATGAGAATTCTTCAACTTTAATACCTTCTACAAGCTTTACTGATGAAATGTTTGGGAACGGTAATAGTTACCATTATACCATTAATGGTACATCTCTACCACAATGACTTAGGAGTAATTATAAGTCACGACTTAAAAACTACTACGCACTGCAATGCGGTTGCTTCCAAAGGCTATCGTGCGCTATGGTCGCCTCGCAGAGCATTTAAATGCTTCGACGAGGATATGTTTCGAATTTTATATCCCATCTATGTAAGGCCACACTTAGAATACTGTATACAAGCAGCTAGCCCATGTCTGATAAATGATACTAAATCACTTTAGCGCGTTCAGTGTGTGGGGACAAAATTAGTGAAGGGTCTTTCTAAACTGATTTACGACGAGCTTTTAAAACGTTTAAACCTTTTCCCCTTATCTTATCGTAGGACGCGAGGTGACCTTATACTGGCATATCGTATCTTTAATTATGATTTGGGTGTTAATATGTCTTATCTTTTTGCTTCCGTCCAGCACTAATAATCTCCGAGGTCATAGCAAGAAGGTTCTGAAACCGCGATCTAATAAACTAAAGATGGGGTCCCGTTTTTCTCATCGAATGGTCAATGACTGGATCGCATTAACCGAACCATCAGTGAACATTTTCAAGGAGAAGCTGAATCTTCACTGGAAGGCAATCTATCTGGATTAACACAGGTTCATCAACCTACTATCCTTATTACTGAAGACTGTATGATATTTGAACTTGTATGAAGCGAATACGTTGATATATTTCTTCTTTTAGGATGTCATGACGTTAATTTGTGTTCTCGGAAATCCGTGAATTGTAAAAAGCAGATCAACAAGATATTGATGAATTTAATGACAAAAATCTGTCTCAGCATCAGAGATGCTGATCGGATTCTGAATGATTTCCGAGATCTTGTTCCGTACTTACCGAGCAGCATCAGAAGTGTCCTGAGGACGTGCACAAGTGTCCAACCGAAATTCATCAGCAGTGCGGTTTACTACCATTTCAGATTGAAAACCAGTCTGCTAAGATATGTTGAACTTTGGTTGTATACTTGTGACTTTGATACTTTAGGTTTGTATGTTGATATAGATGGACTTTCTGTGTCAAGGAGCTCTAGTCAACATCTGTGGCGTGTATTAGGACGGATCGTTGCCCCAAGATTTAGAGGTGGAGATCTATGAAGGGAATATTAAACCGTCAGAGTTCCACGAAATTTCTGCTGACATCATTTCTGAAATAAAAGAAATGAATGACGTTTGTCTGCTTAGTGTTAAGTTAAATAAATACATAGCTATTAAGTCATACGCTGTAATATGTGACGCACCTGTTTGTAACGATGTTAGATACACGGTTAATCACAATTGCAGAGGTCGTTACAATAAACTCACTAACATTTTGTAGAGGCGCATTGAAGCATAAAGAGGGGTTCCTTTGCAATTCCGTTGACATAGATGTGGCCGAGATGTAGGCCACCTTTATTATCTTGAACTTCGGTTGTTCGACAGTGTTGCCATGCCAATCGCCAAGTAGGCTTGTTTACTTTGTAGATTTAAAAATGAACTAGTTCGATACAACGTTTGAATCTAGGCGTGTAGGCAGTGCGTTAGCGGTCAAGAAAGTCACGTGTACGATCAAGTGAAGGTTTTTAGATTTGATGGACTGCATACTGTTTTGCAGAACATATCGTCGGGTATTCCTGACCTGAGTGCCATAATGAGGCAGCGACTGTCAAAGTCCAGTGAGCGTGAACATCCGCGGAAACTCGATTGCGGACTATCAAGTCAACAGTTCCCTTTGTCATCTGAAGAGCAACTAGGAACTTTGGACGCTTGTATGAAGCAGAAGCAGATCTGCAAGCCAACAAAATATTTTGGATCAATTGTTCGTATCACAGATGGCCATGCTGACGTGGTTAATGGATGATAATCTTAAAACGTCAATGCGTTTATTTTTGTCGTACTTCATGGCACCTGAAGTTGACAGTCATTTCACGCTACTTGGCACTTTATCAAAACGAGCACCTCAGAATTGCAGGAATTACGGCTGCATACGGAGTAATATATATATATAAATTTAGGTGCATTAACAAAACGGTTCCTGTTATTATATGTCAACGAAAAAGACATTGTGAAAGTGTAGGACATTGTGATACAAGTTTATGTTTGCGACACGAGAGATAAATTACGAAAGCACCACCGAAGAAAGCAAGAATATGTATGTATTAATTTCAAGTGATAACTATTCTCTACTGTTATATAGGTACAGTCATCAGTGTTAACTAACATAACCGTAAGTAAAGCTTCATATGGGTAGTTGTGTAAAATAAATTTTTCATTTACATATCGTCGTAAATTTTTTCTTTAAATCACAGAACTCACAAGAAGATTATTGTGATTTTCAATAGTTGAACAGGCGTTACGAATGGGAATAACCAGTGGAATATTTTATTGTTTAACCTCCTTTTCATTAAACTTTTTAAAAACGTGGTCCTACTTTCTTGCTTGCATGCCAAACCTTTTGACTAAGTACTGAGAAAGCCTGTTTGATTTCAAATGCACTTTGCGATTTAGTACACATGCATACTTAATATAACATAAACCGATTTCTCTTTTGTCGATCTTTTCAAATTGCAATAAGACTTGGCAATAACAATTGATATACATAGCGATCGATGATCGAGCATCTGCCAATCAATCCTAAAGTTGCACAATAAAACGTTTCTTTAAACGTGTACGATTTTTAAGGTCAAATACAGTTGTCGTATGGTGTGTTAGGGAACAAAGGAGACGTTTGAGATTATGCCGAATGTGTGTTAAATGTTGAAGCATCATTTGATAAATCGGCTTTCAATTAGGCGAAAAGTAGACGATCAAGCGATTTTTAAAACAGAGCGACATAAAGGTGTAAAATCCTCATTATTTCTCTCGGATAGGCGAAAAAGCAGACATTTTGGCGCGTCTCCCTATTATTTTGTCTTCATTTTCCAACTTATTTTCCCATTTATTTCCTTTTTATTGGTTGTTTGGGCTATGGAACAAAGAGCACTCAACTTCGGTACCAGAGTACACTAACATTTAATGTTATCATTCTAATTCAAGTGATAAATGTCGAGAATGATGTATACCGCCCAAACTGACAATAGGTATTCCCCCTCCATTCTCAAACACTAGAGAGTGAGAACATCACATCAAACCCACCAGTCGCTATGTAGCACTAGCTGCGTAGATTGAGGTTATGAAATTCAATATCTAAATTAATGTAGGATTATCACATGCCGAGTGATTTATTTGTGCTCTCATTTCCGCATGTTTAACACCTTTTTAGCATCTTGTGAAGTCGTTTAAGGTTTTGGCTGCAGCAGTTTAGGAGAGTTGATCAAATATCTAGGAGGTTGAAGCACTTACGTGTTTTTCCTTCAATCACAAGTTTAGTGTATCACACTTCTGCCGTCATTATGCTGATTACATTGATGATGCAATCGAGAAATTTGAACGAAAAGACACATGTTGAAAATAAAGTAAATACGAGCGAACAAATTTATTGCTGTGAGTAAATTATCAAAAAAGTAGTTTTATAAGTGTGCAACATTGAATCTGCCCTCATTAGTCTAACCAGACCAACCCTAGTTGAAGGAGGCAAAATAATACGTTTGGGTACATGGCTCGACGCATTTATCGCAACAATTAATCGGCTTAGATTGTCTGATTCTCGATGTGTAGACCACTTTTCAGATATATAAGCTTTCTTCACTCTTAAATTTCAGCTTGACTAGAGTTAAGATCTTTGGTCGAGAAGGTATCAGAAACAACCGCGTTGCCAAGCACTGAATGTAAGTGACATCTTCAAGTAAATAATGTTGATAAGGAAGAACCATATAGTCTTCACTTATAAGCATAATAGGTCAAATGATCTGTATCTATCACTGCAGCTAGTTTTCCATTAGAGATCCAGCTTCTTGGTGAAAGTGTTCACTGATTGATCTGACAACCCTTGTCGAATGAGAAGGGAGAAATGGATCACTGTATGTGTAAACCAGAATCACACACTGAGATTTTTCGATCATGGTCTTTGAAGCTTCTTCCTGCGACCTCTAAGCAATTTATAACACCCAAATCAATAAGATATGGAATATCAATATATGGTCACCTCACATTCTACGGTACAATAAAAGGGAAAGGTTCAAGAGTTACCATCGCTCGTCGTGGGGAAGCTTGTAAAGTCCTTGCAGTAAATTAATGCACACACGTTGAACATAACTGTGTCAGCATCCCAAATCGAACATGAACTTGATGCCTGAATGCAGTATCCTAAGTTAGTTTTAGTGGGCCAGCAGAGGAACTTAATCAAGATATGACAATACGTATATGATATTTAAAATTCGAATCATATTTTCGTTAAAATATTTGAGCGCTCGGTGACTATAGAGCCTGAGATAACTATTGTATTTCAACTCGCATCTATTTCCGAGACACGACTATTGTATCTTCTGGGTTTTTTCGTGCCTGCAGGAGTGGAAGTGGTTTTCCACTTACGGTTCACTGACTACATTCACTGCATCCAATATGCATTACCACACTATTTATAACAGTGATCTCAGATCGCGAGAATGCTCAATATAATATTCTAGGTTCCTGTCCGAAATCGCGGCAAGAGTCTCAAAAATACTCTTTTTTGCCCTGTTTTATGATCTGTTTTAAATGAATTTGTCACTACACAGCGATTGGTCAATAAAAAAATCTGGGACTTTGATCAGAAAAACACGAAGGTAAATAGCGCGATGTTTGGTGTTCGGTAGAAACTTGAAGTATGCTTTTCCTACCTCATGCTAAAGGAAACCTTACAAAGCTTTTATATTTTTACGTGAGTCTTACACTGAGACTAGCGCAAACTTTATTTATATTTATATATTATAAAATAACAATTGATAAGTGGTTTTGGAAGTTGAAATTCAAGATCTTGATTTTCGATTTAAATATTTTACGTAATCGATTTTGTCATCAGTGGCAACTTCTCATTACATTTTGTGATTGTGGTGCATCTTGACAAAAATTGTCGGAATTCTATCAATGGTGATGTATATATGATTTGTTTTAGAGCTTAAGAATAACACAACTTATAATTGTTGGCGTCACATTCTTGAAGGTTTAGTGAGCAAATCGTGGCTGGGTTGTGTAATTTTGCTTTACCTCTTATGAATTCCTTTATTTATCTTGATATACATAAACACAGAACCTTGTCCGACACTATGGTATTCTTACTTCACATCAAAATAAAGGCGTTTATCTTTGATTTACAAAAAAATCAGGTTGACAGAAATGTATGGTATTTAGGTGCAAACATGCCACTATGATTAATTTTATATATCATCAGCCATGAGCTTTAAACAGGGACGATAGTTACATTTTTTATTTTGATTAGGGAATGAAAAAAGCCTCATTATTTTCAATTTCACTGTAGGACATAAATGCAGTGTACTTACCAGTTCAGAGCATTTTGCATAGTACGTTAGATCAAACATTCATAACACAGGTTATATGTGATTTCTAGGTTGACGTTCTACATATAAAGTGATATTGTTTGGGCTTAGCTACAAACTAGTATACAAATATTTCAGAATGTCTGTAATATTGTTATTATTAACGGCAGTTCACTTCAGATGACCTTTAAATAACGGCGTTTTTCTGGGGCAGTCATTCAGCAGGAAAGAAAAAAAACGTGAATTTATTTATTGCTGTATACCTTGTTGTAAGAGGTTACCTATGTTGTTAGACAAGCTATATTTCCATTTTATTTTAGTTTTGTACAGGTTATGCATGATTGTTCAACACCCGAGTTCAGTACTCTGCGGCCTCTCTGTATAAAAACAATTCTATAGAATAAACTGCAATATACCGACGTCCAGAGCTGTCTTCAGTTTTGTCATGAAGCAAAGACATTCAGTAGGTATGACTTGATAAATGCTATTCATTTTGTAATTTCTAACTCAGCCGCCATCAAAAAGGTCAAGAAGAATATAAAAAAACACTTCAACGATCAAGATGCCTCTGAACTCCACAAAGTGTTGTCGAAAAAATTGTTCGGGAATTTAGTAGAGGTAATTCTAAGAACTTATTCTATATTTTTATGGTTTGAGTGTGTTTAATTCTTCTCATTCTGGCTTTATATCAGTTAGAACATACTATGGTGAATCGATATGTAATGTACAACTAGAGATTAGTATCTCATTGTACTTGAGCAGAATTTTGTTCTTGTACCTAAATGGCTGTACAAGGTACACCATGTTTCGCATTAACTCAGCTTTTTTTTATTACGATTGGTGAAATGCAGTTTTGTTGTGAGGTATCAAGCAAATGTTTTGGCAAGTATCTATATTACACAAGTTGCCTAAACTATAACCTATCTCTTGTATAGTCACAGTCCACAGGTTTGTTCGTCCTTCTCAGTATTGTTAGACTGTTCACAAGTTTGATTTATATGGGTTTAGTGTTTATAGTTTGCTGCATAAACCTTTAAATAACCATAATATCATTTTTTAAGAGAGGATCCGTTTGTACATGTTAGAAAGTGGAAAAGTAGGTCATGTAAATCCTGCTTTTAAGCGAACATTAACGATTGTCCACAGTATCTCGAATTTTCTAACTGTATAATGTGAGTTTCAACTCATATCAATTATCATATCAACTTACAGCTGTCACAGCTTCTCTGCGTGATGTTAAAATTTAGTGCCTTATGGACTTTTTTAGCTGTGTTTATTTATATTTTAGAGAGGCCTTCGGGATTTTTAAAATTGTTTGCATTGATAACTGTTCGGCTTGTTATTTTGGCAATCTATTTATTCGGTGTATATTACTTACAAAGTACACGTTTATGTACTCTTTTATGTATGAGGAGTAAGGAAACTACATGGTTGTTCAAACTGAAGTTAGTGAGGTAAACTTCGAATTCAGGGCCTGCTGATTATAATGCAGGTGTAGCAATTTGAGATCAGGCTTGAGGTTTTAACTTTGGAAATTATCTAGTGATTACGAAATCGCGTATTCAAATCCATTTCACTGGGTTAGGTTAGATAATAAGGCAGTACCTCAAAATTTGTGCTGCAACTAATATGTGGATATTAAGTCTCATTCTTATCGTATTTTTTTCAAAACAATGTTCATATCACATATATCACCCAAAAACGAAGAAATGTAATTATTTTTAATCTTGTTTCTATATCTCATGCTCAGCTTTGTTTAGTGTTTAGTTACATATTGTAATTCATCTAGCTCCAAGCATTTTCATATTCCTCACGTTTGCTCTGTGATAATATCACGATAATTATTCATATCGTTTTCATATCTTAAAATTAGGCTACATTCGTACTTATACAGTCATACAGATAAACGAAGTCATGTTTAATATAGGTAAAGTATCAGTTTTCTGCCAACCCGGAAACGTCAAACTGTTTATGTTGCTCTTTAGCATATAAACAGCAAGAATGTTCTGTTTTTAAGCAAACGTATATTTTTGGAAGCTCTAATAATTTCTGTCGTCTAGTTTGGGCTTTTATGAAACTGAAAATTTATTTCGCGAAATATATTTGTTTCTTCTTACACTGTCAGTAACAATAACGTTTTATCATTTAGCTAACTATGTACATTAAATTACTTAACTGACTGCATTAATAAGCCACTTGCTTAATGATGTCATAATTGGGGACAAACCGGACATTGAAGCTTGATTATAATGCGTAAAATTGTGTAATACAGACTACTTTGGTTTGTCAGCTCTTCGTGTTCACGTATCTGTTCATTTTAATTTTAGTAGATCATAATATAACTTGAAGTGCGACATTTTGCATGACCTTAGTAACAAGAAGTAAATCAGTGATTATTGAATATACATAATGAAGCCATCTGAGAATTGTAATGTGCGAATCCTGTAGACTTAGAATTAACATTTGTCTTTCAGTACTATTAAAACTAAGACCGCTTGGGTATGTCATCGAAGTAAAATTAATGGAATTTTGTTTATTTTATCCCTAATGTCCTCAGATATTTGATCTAATATCTTATCCTTGTGAACAAGTACCAAACGAAGATACAGATCTAAATGCTATTACCAAAGACTTAGTAGAAGCACTTTATGATGGTCCATTAACTATTGATCCGTTGGATGTAGAAGCGAATGAATTAATTCAACTACTTAGTTCTCCAGTATGGCGTAGCTTTTCTACTGCATACACTGAAATAACAACCAGCCACTTTGACATGCCTGAATTACCTGAAATAGCCTACGTGACGTCGGGCCTGGGTGGTATTAATACAAATCTAGGAAGTTTGATGGCCAGTAAAGCATCTAATTTACAAGTGGCTGACAGAAGTTTTGGGGATGGCGTTATAAAAGATGATCGAAATGGAATTCCCAATGAACTATGTAATTCACGATCAATTATGTATGGTGCCGGTAGTGAAAAAGTGTATACTGACTTGAGAAAAAATGAAGCTACACTTACTGGAGGTGGTGATGGTCCAGCATTGCCACCTGTAGATGGTGCAGTAAAAATGATCGGGATTCAAAAGAACCATGGTGAAGATTTAGTGAGTTGCTTTTTTATTTAACGCGTTATAAGATGTCGCGTATATATAATAAAAATAGTCAGTCCGGATATATGGTTTGAAAGTTTGTAATTAAAGAAATTAAAGATGTCATGAAAATCTGTAGTAATATTAAAATTTCACAAAGTTTAGAACTAAAGCACTCAATAGACTAGTACAGTAGGAAACATTCAGAGATTATGTTAAGGTGGAGTTCCATGTCAGTTGAAATGAGTAAATTGAATGTCGATTAATATATGATGCGTGGATCTTATGGTGTCGTGGCTCAAAGAACAGATAATGGCAACCGTCTGTTGCAGCTATGCTCAGATAACCGCCTGTTTCTTGCAAATACTAACTTTAAGCACAGGGAAAAACATCTTTTGACATGGCGACCCCCGAATTCGTCCCAACGTTGGACCCAAATAGATCTCATCGCTATCAGCCACCGATGGAGGGACTCGATAGAAGACTGTCGCTCATTCTGGAGCACATGTTTAGATTCATATCATGCTCTAGTGCGAGCACGTATCTGTCTGCGTCTTACTGGACGTAGGAAAGACACTGCAAGAAAACCTCTTGGTTTTCTACTTAGTGATAAGCAAGCTAAGAATATATTTCAGGAAAAACTAGAAAAACAGTTAGGCAGCCATGTAAGTTGTACCCACCTCGAGGCATCGTAGAATGACGTCCAAAAAGCTGTGGAAACAGCAGTGATATCTGCTAGTACGGTAAACCATAAGGTTAGGGAGAAACACTGGGGCTCAGCAGCATCTACCGCACTGATAGATGCTCAAAAGCCCATCCCATATGGCTCTAAACATAACGAAGAGCGGAGTCAGCTTAAGCTCAGGCTAATAAGAAGCCTACGCAATGACCGTGAACAGTGGTGGATAGCGAAAGCAAGAGAGATGGAAAAGACAGTAGCAATAAGTAACAGCAGACAGCTATTCAGACTTGTTAAAGAAACCGGTATTAGGAACCCGAATATCAATGAAACTATCTCAGATAAAGATGGGCATATAATTCATTCTCAATCCAGGAGATTGGATCGATGGGCAGAACACTTTAGGGATCAGTTCAACTGGCCTTCAGCCACACTTCGGTTTCCCACGATCCCCAGTTGTCCTGAATGGCAAGTTAATGTAAATCCACCAACCCTTTACGAGGTTGAGAAAGCTATAGGAAATCTGAAGCAAGGAAGGGTAGCAGGCCCTGACAGATTTGTCCTTGAGATTTTTAAGGATGGCTGTCCAGTACTAGCAGCGAGATTGACTCAGGTCTTAGGTAGAATCTGGGAACTGGACGTAATTTCATCTGACTGGTCTCAATCACTGATTGTGCCAGTCTATAAGAAAGGACAAAAGTCCTCCTGTGACAATCACAGAGGGATCAGTTTGACTAATATAGTGTCTAAAATATTAGCTTCAATAATACTAGGTCGCCTAACCAAAGCTCGTGAAGAGCAAACTAGAGAAAACCAGGCAGGTTTTCGACCTGGACGTGATTGCATAGACCAGATATTCACCCTACGTCAGGTCCTAGAACATAGACACAAATTCAGACGTCCCACAATAGTAGTATTTCTTGACCTTAAGGCGGCATTTGACTCCGTTGATCGTGAGGTTCTATGGCAGTGTTTGTCATTGAAAGGAGTACCAAAAAGTACATTAACCTCATAAAGGCTCTCTACTCGAACACAACTGGTCAAGTTAGAGGTTATGGCGAACAGTCATCAGAATTGATTACCTTAAGTGGTGTTTGTCAGGGCTGTCCACTTTCTCCATTCTTGTTTAATTTTGTCGTTGACATGCTTTTAGAGATAATACTTTCATCATCTAAATCTCCTGGAGTTGAACTTTTACCGGGAGACTCACTTGTTGACTTAGAATACGTCGATGACATAGTTTTATTTGGTGAAGACGCTGACAAAATGCAGTCTTCTGACCACTATAAGCAACAATGCAGGCATGTTCGGGATGCGATTCTCCCTCGAAATGCAAAATGTTACTTCAGGATTGGGTTGCATCGACATCTGAACTAATGATAGGGAGTGAAGTAGTTGAGCGTGTAGACCACTTCACTTATCTTGGGAGTCTCATCAACCCTTGTGGTCTGGTGCGTGACGAAACCTCAGCGCGGATACAGAAGGCTCGTCTAGCTTTCGCCAACTTGCGTCATTTATGGTGCAGGCGAGATATCCGTCTAACAACCGAAGGACGGGTTTACTGCGCAGCAGTTCGTTCCGTCCTACTTTATGACAGTGAAACATGGCCGACAAGAGTAGAGGATATTCGTGGGCTACTAGTTTTCGATCATAGATGTCTTCAAAGGATTGCTCGTATATCCTGGGAACACCGGGTAAGTAATGCAGTTGTTAGGAAACGAGTACTAGGTAAGGATGGCAAATCGATTGATGAAGTAGTGAAACTTCACCAGTTGAGATGGCTGGAACACGTTTATGGTGTAGGAGTAGGTTGGAAGAAAGCTAGGGGCGGCCAGACGAAAACGTGGCACAAATCCATGAAGTCACTGACACGTGGATTGAGCCATGTTAGTATGTGCATACTATCTGGAATTCAGAATTCAGACGTAACTACCGAGCTTAATTTTTGTCCACCATATTATAAATATTGTCAGATTTAATAGGGGATTGAGTAGTCTAAAACATTTGGTTGTAAGTCAAAACCTAGTTTATTTGTTTTGGTAGCTAGCAACATGTGTTGTGTACCGCTTATTCACCGAATATTTTCGAATTACACATAATCTCATATATACTTTTTTACAATTTCTCGGAAGATTCTAATAACCATAACACGAGTTCAAATTAAGTTTTGCTTTAAATAGAATACACATACTATTACTTCATATTGTGGAAAATTCTTCGTATCGATGACAAAATCTTTAGAGCATATATTTGCCTACCTTTAATAAAAATATTTATTCTCATTATTTATGGCACATTTATTTCCTTTTTTTTCTTTACTTTTTCCCTCATATTTCCGAATAATCTATAAAATTGAGTGGTTCTTATCCCTAATTCTTTTGCGATGGTTATATGTCAGCATGGGAATATGTTTCCTCCAACCTTCAAATTAAATCTATAAGAACTTTTGTTTAAATTTGAAAAAATAGTTTCATAGTAGCTGGGCTCCAAGTTAATATAAGACATTAAGCAGGTCAATTATATTTGTAAAAATCTCAGCGATTAAACTTTAAGTAAATCCAACGTTTCGATCCTTAATCTAATCCAAGCTTTTTCAAGGAAATACAGTTAAACATCAAAATTACAGAATATAAATATGTACATGGTTCTCCAGTTAACTGTATCCTAAACAGGTCATCCAATCATGTTAACACTAATGAAAGTAAGATTTTTTTGTACTGCATATGAAACATTTAGTGTGAAAAGTTAAGAAAATTGTGTTAAGACAACAGTTGTGTGTTTATGTAGGTAGATCTGATGTAAATTAAATAGTAGTATGTTATCTCGATAAACGCATTTCTTTTATAACCGCCATTCTCGTTTGACTAGACGTCGAAAGTTTTACTCAACATTATTTTGAAGACAAGATAGGGAAGGTTTGTTGCTCAGCTAACTGAACTGATTGTCATTATTTCTTACGTCATCAAGTAAATATTTTTATTTTCGCGAATTACCAGATAATCTGTTCTTCTCTGCCTGTTTATAAAACGCCGATGTTTTCATCCAAAGATTTGATTGTTTTTGAAATATCACATTGTTTTATTCTATGGAAAATTAAAAATTATCACAGGGTATCACTGTTATTCAACAACAATATATGTCTGCACATTATGGTTTAGTGAAGGAATTGGTAATCAAACGAATTTTAGCTGCTTCTCATGTTGAACAGCTGGATTTGCTACACGTAGGTGATGTGATTCGTGAAGCAAATGGAGTTCCAGTTGATAATCCTGAAGTATTACAGAAAGTATTAAAAAACGCATCTGGAAACGTCACACTGAAAATCATTCCTGGTTACCAATCAACTCCTATTTCTTCCCAAGTAAGATTGATGAAGAACTATGTTTTTTCATTAAAATGTTATCTTCCATTTTTTCGCTTATTTTATAAAATTTTGTAATAAAAAATGTTGATATACTTGATGCTAATTACGAGGTCTCCTTACTCGGTAGCGAAACGAAGATCAAAGACACAGTAATACGATAGGCTATTCCAATCTGTTGTCCCAGGCCCCGCTAACTAGAGTGAGACGTCCAAGAAGGAAGTGGGGAAAATATATTCCGTAAGCAGCCAGAAGCACAAGCAATCACAACAGGAAGAAATCAAACGTATATATATACAGCATGAAACTGTCCTTGGGAAACGTTTCAAAACAGCATACTAAAAGATACAACGGACTAATAGTGTTTAATATTTTCTCGAGTGGGAAATACTACGTGAAGGTGAAAAGAGCGCTTTTGGCGCAAAAACAACGAAATTCAAATTTTCAAAATAAAATTACAAGTCATTTACCAAGTGAGTTCTGGGGATCTAACATCCCCAACAAACATTCTATTCGTTTATTCAGTAGGTTTCTGTTAAAATCCGATTTGACTAAACAAATCTTTAATTTATGTATTATTGAATCAAGTTGTTTTAATAGTATGTTACTCGGTGTGTATTAGTTATAAAAGGTAATAAAATAACAATATCTACATGTTTTGGAAATTTGAATTTCTCGTTTTAGCGCCAGAAAAACCCATTTACACCTTCATGTTGTATTTCCCACTTGGGAGGACCTTAAATGTCATTGGTTCGTTGTCTCTTTTAATGTGTTATTTCGTAACGCTTCCCAAGGATTTTTTAATGCTACATATGTACGCTTGAATTGTGCTTGTGTTTGTTGTTCGTACTACTGGCTGCTTGTAGAATACATTTCTTTCTTCTGAACCTGGACTCCTCTCTCTAGTTAGCTGGGCTGGGACGCATTGGAATAGTTAGCTGATTTGGTCAATGTGTCACTGATTCTTCGTTCCGTTCACAGATTAGGTGAACGCGTGATGTCTTTAAAAAGCATTTCATGAAATAAAACATTTTTTTTGTGAAAATTTTCTTGAGTGTTCTGCAGTTCAGAAAAAAAGATTTTTAGCTATTTGTAATTGTCTCAATTTCAGATCATCAGTGTACGATGTTTTAACTTAAAGCTTCAATATTAGTGAAATATAATTCAACTTACCGAATTTTCAGGAGTCAGATGTTTCTTATAGTTTAGTATTGATCTGAAAATAAATTCAGTGCAATGAAATTGCAGTTCTTCTTTTCAATGTAGATAGTTACCACTTAACAGATGGTAGTAAATTGAATTATATTTAAAATACATTGATCATTCACATTATATCATTGTGTTATATTGCATATTTTTAATCTACTTGAGCTGACAGTCATTTTTTTACTCTTATATGTGGATATCAACTTAGACTGCATGTCATTAACACAAATTTGTGTTGCTGATAATAAATTTAGACTCAATTTTGATTCAAAATTCGTTAATAAGTATTACAGAGTTATCTTATGATTTCATGTTGCTACTAGGTTATAAATACGATATATTGTTATAAGAAATCACTTAAAATGGTCGTACTATTGTGTAAAGTGATTAATGGTATTTATCCAATACTTCTCAATCGGTCAGCATGGAAATGTATCATCATAACTAAGCGAAGTGACAACAATAAGATATATTTGCTTTATTTTTTATCCGTATAATCAACTTTCAGTCTTGGTTTCATATTTCTTAGCATAAATTAGGAAGATGTCTGTCAAATTGTGTCTGGTAATTAAGACGACAGTTATACTTTTAACTCAAGGGACGAACTATTAAGGATTTTTGACAGAAGAAAGTGAGTGTTCAGTGACCATTATTTAGTTAGAGCTTTTCATCATATTTAAGACTCATCAACTAAATAAAGTTGTACCCTAGTTTTTGTTTTATTGCTAGGAGATAAGTTATGTACCTAAAGCTTGAAACATAGGATCATTACGCACCAGGCCACTGGGTCACAAATATCATCAGTTGTTTAAAGGGTTACGATATATACATATATATTACTTGTAATACTAGGAATATGGAAACTTGAATACAGACATAATCAAACACGCGAACTGATTTTCACTTCTGGGTTTTATTCAAATTATAATCAAAAAGTAAATATAAGTACTCCGAGAGCGTTTGTCCAAGGAGCCCATATAACAACCGAAATCGATGGATTCAGTTTTGAATATCAACAATGGAAGATAATGATCTCATACAATTAATAATTCTCTACTTTTCTGATTCCCAATAATTTTGAAATCGATAGTGTTTTAGCTGTGAAACAAATAACCTGTAATATGCTACTATACTTTACAATTACTAAAATTATTCAGATTGCCCTTTATGATTATGTTTGTTTCCCTTTCTATTTTATTTGACTCTCACTTTTATGCTGTTTGAAAATAAGTAAAAAAACTGTTCAAATTTAGCAAATTATTTATTATTACTATTATTGTTATCATTTAATGTTCATATTTTTATCAAGCTTTTTCTTCGAGCTCACTTTTCGTATGATCCGAAAAATGATAATTTGATTCCATGCAAAGAAGCTGGTTTAAAATTTTCAGCTGGTTCTATCCTTCAAGTTCTTAAACAAGAAGATCCTTATTGGTGGCAGGTAAATTGACGAAGAAAATTTTTTAAAATTTATGTTAAAAAAATACCAAAGTTAAAAGAATATTGGACAGTAACAATGTAGATTAGGATATCCTTTTAAAGCATTCCTTGGAATAGGAACTGATCAATCTTGATCGGTAGGACTTTAGATTTTGATCTAAATATTATATTTATACAGTTAATTATTTTAGAATGTATGATGAAACAAAACGGGATTTCAAATAAGTTAAGATTTTTCTGTATATCATATTTAACTGATCATTTTGTGTGTTTGTATTTTCAGGCAAGACATCATAATCAAGATGGTCGTGCTGGTCTAATTCCATCTATAGTACTACAAGAAAGGCGTAAAGCCTTTATTCAAAGTGCGCCTAATCCAGAAGAGCTAACTTACAAAACGTTCGCTTGCGGACTTGCAAGACGTAGAAAGAAAAAGGTAAATAGTCACTAATTGTCCCTTTGTGTATAACATTTATTTGTATGTATGTGTTATTTCAATTGCGCTTGGCTAGTTTTATCGATAAGTAATCCATTGATGTCGAAGAAATTCAGTTTTATGATAGAGCGAGTTAACAAAATGTATTTAAACACTTTGGAGATAAATAAATAGTTTCATTGAGGTTCAAACAATCTTTTGTCCCCCTTAAAATCAGAGAAATTACTAGTAAATTATTCAGCTCTCAACTGATCTCTCGTAAGAATGAACCACAAAAAATTATCAGTCACTAGAAATTCACCTCGTCTTGTTTTACCTTGTTCACTAAATTGTGTTTTCAGTGTATACCTTGAAATATTGATACTACAGTCTAAATAAAACCACTTGAAAGTTTTGTACATTCAATATTCACAGGCGAGGACAGGTGAAACATACATATACAATGTAAATTGTAAAAGTTCCATTTTATTTTGCACTTTTGGTCAAATCTTTTAAAGTTTTCGTGATATTACGTTTTTTTCTTGAAATACTTAAACCTTCGTTTGATACATACGGTGTAAGTTTTAAAACTTGTCAATAAAACTATTTATAATAATAAAAACCTCATACGTCCTTGTTAATAGCGACCAATCTTTATTTTCTATTCACTTTCAACATTCGACTGGACAGTTAGTTTTTATTAAGAGTTTTTAAAACTGTTCAATAAAAATTCAGCTAAATTATTTATAATAATCGCCTACACCGTATCTCACCGATTCTTCGTGAAACTCTGTATTGGTCTTCATAATATTACGTAGCCCTACGCCATTTAGTTGCGCGCTCATCAATTTCAGAAAGGCTTCTGAGATTTTATTTACTCACTGAATACTTTTAATTTAGACTTATTAATCAATACAACAGTTCACTTCAATTCCATTTGTACGCTGTATTCGTTCTTGTCATTTTCATATTAAAGATGTAATAGTATATGTAAAAAGAAAATACATGTGACTTTTTAAAACAGGTTTAATATGTTGGACAAAGTTAACGAGAAAGTTTACTTTGACTTCAACAGTTTCTGTCGAATAAGTTACAAAAAGGGGATTGTACGAACCCTTTATGACCGCGCTCGTATACTTTGCTCAAAGGAAAGCCTGGAAGAAGCTACTTGCCTTCATCGCAAATTGCCTACGTGAAAATGCATATTCAGCGAAATTCATAGAATAGTATACCAAAACTAACCTACGGGTTAGATACGATACAGTTGATAAGAAAATCTGCTACTTATATTCGCGCTTCAAAGGAGATGAAGTCATTGGAATAATTAACCACAGGACAAATGCCGCATTGAAGGTTGGTCATCCATCAGCAAAACTGACGATGTTATGTGCAACGAACTGCTCTCTTAATCAAATGAGATTGACAGGTCATCATTCTCAGTACCTCCAACCGCATTTACCGATTTATAAGTACGTGTCAAAGCACATACACTGGAAGAACAGAAAGAAGAGTACATGTTCCTATTTCCAAACACATTTCAAAGAGTTTGAGACTGAGAGGTGCAAGGGCTCTAAATAAGTGCACTAACTCAGCATTTAATTAATATCGCGCATACCACTGAAATTCCTTGATTCTTCAAAATTATCAGCCGGCACAAAAACGCGCCGGAGCAAGAGCAATAAAAAAACTTAGATCTGATTTATGTATCTAGAAAAATACAGTAATAAAATTTTCACTATCTTGGTAAATTATTTTTGTCATTATTTTATTAGTGTTTATTTTGTTATGCGATCTTTCCTTAACTAACTCACTTAACTCTCTTAACTTATGTAAACTCTTCATATCATTATTTATTTATTTAAACACATAAATATTGGTACAAAGGGGCACCAGATATATATGCGCCGCACAAATCTCATTTGATTTGTGTGAGGGCTGTGATACTGCCCAGGTGCCCAAACTGATGCATATCGTACTCACTTATTACGTAACTCATCAAGTTTTAACTCCAGTAATCTTATGTAAACCTTTAATAAGCTCTAGAATTATCGCACAATCTATCTTAGCTTCATTTAATTAATGCACCACTCACCCCTCATGTTTTTGAATTACAACATGAAATAACCTCTAACATATTCTTGCATATATACATATAGTTATTATGGATAACCTTTTGACATTTTAATTTTTTTCATTCATCTACCTAAATTGTTTCACATAAGTACTGTTTAAGTGCACTGAATTCCAGCATTCTTCTAATACTGGTGATTGTGAATCCCCATATGCATATTTTTTGATTGTTTCGAATGTTATCAAGTTTGTGGTAGTTAATAAAAAAAATTACATTAGACAATACCGAATGATTGTATAGGGGTAGAACTGTCACGTTTTTCATTTGTGATCTGATCTGCTAAGCTCAATCATGTAGGGAGTTTGACAATTATCACTAGCGCAATGGATGATTTTTGCGCAACTAATTGTAAAAAAAAATGGTAGATCATTAAAAATGAACACAGTAGTTTGTAGGTAACTTGCTATCTGAGAGGTATGAAGACTATGGGCTTAATTTCTGGGTGTAACCATGAGTGCACATCGCACGAGTCTGTAAACACTTAATACAATCAACTTTTAGCAGAAATTTCCCAGGATTTTTTAGAAATCGATAAATTATATCATATCCTTAACAGATAATCACCAGTTTTATTAAAAAAATTTAACATTTTTCCAGAAGCTTCCAGAGTACCAAGGCTACAGAAATACTTACAAAATCCTTATTTCCTACTCATAAATTAACTTTACAAGTAAAATTTTTTTCTTGATCTCCATTTTTTGTCTTTGTTTGGGAGTATTTGGGGAACTAAGAAGCAGTTAGAAATTAGTACCAAGGTTTCAAATATCATAGTTATTGACAATTGAACTCTACATAAACATTTTTTTCTGCTTTTTTTATTAATTTGGACGTAGTAAATAAATGATTTCAGGGCAATAGTTAAACATAAATTCTGTGGGTAATCTGAAAGATTTCTAGCACATATTACTGATAAACTATTATCTTGGATTAAAATCTCTATAAAGTTGATGAATATAGATCGCCATTTTATATGAGTAATCTACTTTACTTACTTACGCCTGTTACCCCCAATGGAGCATAGGCTGCCGACTAGCATTCTCCAACCCATTCTGTCCTGGGCCTTCTTTTCCAGTTCTGTCCAACTTTTGTTCACTCTTTTCATATCTGGTTCCGTTTCTCGGCGTAATGTGTTATTTGGTCTTTCTCTTTTCCTTTGGCCTTCAGCATTCCATGTGAGGGCTTGTCTTGTGACGCGATTGGGTGATTTCCTCAAAGTGTGCCCTATCCACTTCCATCGCCTCTTCCTGATTTCTTCTTCCACTAGATGGAATCTGGTTTGTTGTCTCCCACAGTAACTTGTTGCTGATAGTGTCTGGCCATCGGATCCGAAGTACCTTGCGTAGACAACTTTTGATAAACACTTGTATCTTCTGGATTATGGCTTTCGTAGTTCTCCACGTCTCCGCCCCATACAGTAGAACTGTCTTGACATTTGTATTGAAAATTCTGATCTTGGTGTTGGTTGACAATTGTTTTGAGTCCCAGACGTTCTTCAATTGTATATATGCTGCTCTTGCTTTACCGATCCGCACCTTCATATCTGCATCAGATCTGCTTTCTGTTCATCAATGTTGCTGACAAATATGTAAAGGTTTCCACATTCTCCAAAGCTTCTCCGTCAAGTGTAATTCTATTGGTGCATGTTGTATTGTATCGGAGAGTCTTGCTTCTCGTTTTGTTTATATTGTGACCTACTGCTACTGAGGCTGCTGCTACACTGGTCGTCTTTTTCTGTATTTGTTGTTGCGTGTGCGATAGAAGAGCCAGATCATTTGCGAAGTGTGGATCGTCCAGCTGCATCCTAGCTGTCCACTGTATCTCAAGCTTCCCTCCAGATGTTGACGTCTTCATGTTGCAGTGGATCACCAGGAGAAAGAGAAAGGGTGAGAGTAAGCAACCTTTTCTGACACCGGTCTTTACCTCGAATGAGTCGCTTAGTTGTCTTTCATGCACGACTTTGCAGTTTAATCCATCATAGGAATTCCATATGATATTGATTAACTTCTCAGGCACGCCGTAGTGTGAAAGAAGCCTCCATAGTGTCGTCCTGTCCACGCTATCAAATGCTTTCTCGTAGTCAATGAAGTTGATGTAGAGTGATGAATTCCATTTGATTGATTGTTCCACAATGATCCGCAGAGTTGCGATTTGGTCTGTACACGATCTATCCTTACGAAATCCAGCTTGTTGATCTCGAAGTTGGACGTCTACGAAATCTTTCATCCTGTTTAACAATACTCTGTTGAAGACTTTTCCTGGTATTCAGATGAGAGTGATGCCGATAATGGTGATCGTCTGTTGCAACTATGCTCAGGCAATCGTTTATTTCTAGCAAGCACTAATTTTAAGCATAAGGAGAGACATCGCCTAACATGGCGACCACCTGCACCAAACCAACGATGGACTCAAATAGACCATATTGTCATCATCATCGTTGGAGAGGTTCAATAGAAGATTGTCGCTCGTATTGGAATACTTGTTTAGACTCTGATCTCGCTTTAATACGAGCGCGCATTTGTCTGCGCTTCACTGGACGCAGGAAAACTACACTAAGAAGACCCATTAGGATTGAACTGGAGGACGAGAAAGCCAAATGCGAATTCCAGAAACAACTAAGTTCACATCTAGACAGTTCTGTAAACGAAACTGACCCAGATGCTGCTTGGAATAACATACGAACAGCTGTGGAAACAGCAGTAACATCTATTAGTCATTTAAACCATAGGGCTCCAAAAAACCAGTGGATTTCTTCTAAGTCTATTTCACTGATGGATTTGCGTAAACTCATCCCATCAGGCTCTGAACACGACGAAGAGCGTAAAGAAATTAGATCTAGGTTAACTAAAAGTCTAAGGAACGATCGTGAGCAGTGGTGGGCAACGAAAGCAAAAGAGATGAAAAAGGCAGCGACTGTAGGCAACAACAGGCAACTATTCAGACCTGGCCTTCAGCTACTGCACAACTACCCACTATTCCCAGAAAACCTGAATGGAACATTGAAGTAGGCCCCCCGACCCTACTTGAAGTTCAAAAAGCTATAAGTAATCTGAAACGAGGAAGAGCAGCTGGTCCTGATGGATTGGTTCCAGAGGTCTTTAAATATGGTGGTCCAATTTTAGCGATTAGGTTGACTAATATTCTGGCTAAAATCTGGGAGACGGATGTAATCCCATCCGACTGGTCACAATCACTGATTGTCCCAATATATAAAAAGGGGTTAAAATCATCCTGCGATAACCATAGAGGGATTAGTCTGACTAACATAGTATCTAAAATACTAGCCCCAATAATTATCAGGCGCCTAACTAAGACTCGTGAACTGCAAACACGTGAAAATCAGGCTGGCTTCAGACCTGGTCGTGGCTGTATCGACCACATATTCACCATTCGTCAAGTTTTAGAGCACAGACATGCTTATCGGCGTCCGACAATGATAGTTTTTCTTGACTTGGAAGCAGCATTTGACTCTGTAGACCGAGAGGTTCTGTGGCAGTTTCTGTCATTGAAAGGTGTACCTGAGAAGTACATAAACCTTGTGAAGGCTCTTTACTCGAACACTACCAGTCGAGTGAGAGCTTATGGCGAACTGTCATATGATTTTAGAACCTCAAGTGGTGTCCGTCAAGGCTGTCCACTATCCCCCTTTTTGTTTAACTTCATTATAGACCTGTTGCTGGAAATAACACTCTCGTCGACTGAATTTTCAGGAATTGATCTCCTACCAGGGGGACCACTAAGCGACTTAGAATACGCAGATGACATAGTCCTGTTTGGTGAAGACGCTGGCAAAATGCAGAGTCTTCTGTTGGAACTCAGTAATATTGCCAGGATGTTTGGGATGCGTTTCTCCCCATCCAAATGTAAATTGTTACTCCAGGACTGGCCTGCGTCAACACCCGAACTAAGGATAGGGAGTGAAGTAGTCGAACGCGTCGACAACTTCACATATCTTGGAAGTCTGATCAGCCCTAATGGGTTAGTGTCTGACAAAATCTCAGCACGGATTCAAAAAGTTCGTTCGGCTTTCGCCAACTTACGTCACCTATGGCGAAGACGAGATATCCGTCTATCAATTAAGGGACGAGTATACTGCGCAGCAGTTCGCTCTGTTCTACTTTACGGCTGTGAAACATGGCCATTAAGAGTAGAAGATACTCGTAGGTTACTAGTATTTGACCACAGATGCCTTAGAAATATTGCTCGCATCTGCTGGGATAACCGGGTAAGTAATAGTGAGGTTAGACGCAGGGTATTAGGAAATGATGGTAAACCAGTTGATGAGGTGATGAATCTTCATCAACTGACATGGTTGGGCCACGTGTTACGTATGCCTGAACACCGACTACCACGACGCGCTATGATGACTAGTATTGGGGACGGTTGGAAGAGAGTTAAGGGCGGCCAAACCAAAACATGGCATCAGTGTTTGAAGTCACTAACTTCTAGCCTGAGCCATGTTGGCAGATGCAGACTACCTGGTTGGGGTCCGCGTGACTATCGTAACCAATGGTTGGAGACTCTGTGTGACATGGCTCAGAATCGATCACAATGGCGTAGGTGTATACACTCTTTATCTTCCCTTAAACCTTGAGACTAAAATTGCTTCATATCTCTCTTCCTTCCTGTACTATATCCTTATATAGAACCTTTCTTGATATACTACCACCACTAAATTAATTACTTCTATGAATCCGGTGTTCATCTTGTTGTACTAACGAGGTATGGCAACTTGGACAGATGCATATATGTGCCTGGTCCTACGTTGTAGCTGACTGATTCCTCTGTAGTTATCACACTTGCTGAGATCGCCTTTCTTTGGTATCTTGATCAGAAGACCTTCTTTCCAGTCTGTTGGTACTTGTTCTTCATCCCAAATCTTACTGAAGAGAATGTGGAGTATCTTTGCAGTTGCTGCTACATCTGCTTTCAGCGCCTCTGCCGGGATGTTGTCTGGTCCTGCTGTTTTGCCGCTCTTGATTTGTCTGATGGCCATGTTGATCTCTTCAATTGTTGGTGGGCCAACATCTATTAGGAGGTCCGTGGGTGCTGCTTCGATGTTGGGCGGGTTCAGTGGAGCTGGTCGATTCAAGAGTTCTTTGAAGTGTTCTACCCACCTGTTGCGTTTTTCTTCAATGTCGGTGATTACTTGGCCTCGTGACTTCCGAAGGAACTCGGCTTTCACCATGAGGCGTCATAACTCTTCTAGATGAAGACCTAACTCCCAGGGCAGAAATAAAATGGTTTGAATAATTTTTTCTGGTTAGCGTTTTTTTAGAGAGTTAGTTTTCTACGGGAGTAATCTAATGAACTATAAAATCTTCAGGTCAATCATAATATGATTTTTTTCATGAATAACTTTCATTGTAGGTCACTATACCATTTTGTGCAAGAGATGCTGATAATTATGATACTAAAGATATTGTACTTTATGAAGAAGTTGCTATGGTATCAGGTTTCCAGCGTCCTGTTATTTGTTTAATTGGAGCTCCTGGAGTTGGTCGTCGAAGTTTACGTAATATGCTTATTCGTGCCAATCGGGAGAGATATGCATCAGCTATTGCATGTAAATTGAATAGAAATTTTATTTTAATACACAAGTTACTTATTATTTCAATTAAGTCTACTTATTTATTAAAGTTTTTTTACTATTCTATGTTATAGAATATATCAATCAGTCAAGTAATCATAAACACGAATAGATTTTACTGTATATTGTATTTTTATTATTTTTTCTGTGTTGTCAGTTAGTTTATCTAACAATAATAGGAATCGAAGCCGGAAAGAGTGTAATATAGAGGTGTTTTTAAAACGACCGAGGCGAATTTTATCCAGCTGTTAACCAGTAAGAAAACAGCTTTTGTAAATGAACAGTTTATGGGAAAAACAATAATACTACAAGATGCAGACAAATTTAACATAATCAATAAGTAATTCATGTGGACACAGTAGATCCGTCTAATCAAACGCTTATTAAGACGTAGAAAAAATTTTAGAAGTTCGCACATTCTTCCTGGTTAGAGTTAGGAACAGAAGTTAGGAATGAAGATCTGGTTGATTTGCGTTTTACATATATCCTACCTTCAATACTTATCTCAAAGTAGAATGAAACAGCTGTGTAGCAGGACTCTTTTTTTCCATCTATGATCAATGCTCTAGATGTAAGATTGATCTGAAGAATCTCGGTAAACTACTAAGGTCAATCAATTTTTTACTATTTTCTTAAATTACTTCACCCTAAAATTAGTTCGTGTTTACCTATTGTTTTATTCCTTTTTATTGACCTCAGATACATCGAAAGAATTAGATGTTGGAGAAGAGGATGACGGTGAATTTATTGTTGAATCGAAAGTAAAAATGGAAATGGATAATTTGAAAAATAAATATCTTGAAGTAACTTTAAATTTTCTATGTTTAATTAATTAATTAGTTTTATTTGTTACATAAATATCCACAGTTGTGCTTGGATTATGCAGAAATAAACACTATTTAATTGAGTAGAATACAGAAATGAATTGGGAATTTTGTAAATAACCTTCACATACTTTTTATATAAAATAAGTCAACTGGTTGAATAAATTGTCTATTGAAACATCAAGGGCAGAAATCAATGGTACTTCACATCCATTATAAATATTGTCTTTTTCTTTTTTTGTAGGATGTCATTATCTTTTGCATACGTATTGTAATGAGTATATACGAATAGTATTCCAAATAATAGACATAAAGTGGTAAATGATTTCCTAGAGCTTATCTGTATGTTTAATACAGTGTATTCTGCTGTTCTACGTTACTGATCTAATTTTCTTCTCATCTGAGAATACATGATAAAAGTTTTCAACAAAAATTCCTGAATAACGTTTGAATCTCATTTCGCTGATAGTTCTCATGGTTGTGAAAAAACTACTAGAGATTAACCACTAGTATTTTGTTCAATTTAAACAAAACCTGAGGTTGTGGAAAGTCATTTCAAAAAAAGTTTTAACGTATATCAATTTTATCTCAATCAAAATGTTCTTCATTTACTGCAATACATTTCATCAAATAATCGTTTCCACTGTTTCTGTTAGTTAAGCTCTTCACCTACCTACCTTGCCGTTCGACGTTTATCTGTAATTGTGTCCACGATCAAACTTCTTTGGATTTAGCCCATTCTATCTGGAAAGTGAATCTGCTAAGGTCTACAGGAAACCGGAGACATTTTAAATTCTCATTAGCACGTAAAGTCAACAGTTGTTGCGGCTTCTCATCATAATTCCAGTCTTCATAGCGCTCCTTAAAACACTTGATCTACTTAAAAAAGCTGTTTTCTTTTTTCACTTTATCTCCATAAACAACTGTCCATCCTGCTTGAGTTTATTTCAGGTCCTACCAAAACTATATTTCTTCTTCTATTACTCATCTATACATATTTATGTTAATTTGTTAGGATGTAGAGAAAAGATTTGAACCATTTAAGTAGTGAAGCTTTATTTCATAATGCGATATCAATAAATAAAGAAAATAATTCCCAATGTTTTAGCGTTAAAATTTTGAGTTGATTTTATACTTTTACAACTTATAGTTTACTTTATCTATACTGGTCCGTAGTAGAACATATTAGATTTAGCATAAAATTAGTTATAAAATAGGATGAATTAAACGATTAGTTATCTTTTCTGTGAACCCTATTACAAAACTGTACAAATGGAGAATATTAGTAGTATATCAAATTCGTTACTACTAGTACAAATACTTTTTTCTATGTTTATAGAACTCATGAATAACTTACGTACGCTTTAAGACAATAGGTATTTGATTATAAAAGAAGTTCTGATAAGGTTTGTAACCTTTTATATCATACATTTTAGGATGTTATGGTGAGAACTCTCAGTTAAACTCCCTAAATAAAGTAATTCTATGAAAAAATAATTGTATAACATATATTCGCTACTTCTATTCATGTATATTTTTTATCTTCTACATTGAAGTTTGGTGAATATGAAGATAATTTCTACGGTACAAAATACGATAGTATTCGAGAAGTAGTACAAGCAGGTCGTACGTGCTTACTTGATTGTTCAATACAAGCTGTGTCCAAGTTAAGAAACTCAGAATTTATGCCTTATGTTGTATTCCTTGCTGCTCCATCAGTTAGTTGTATGAAAGCAATGTATGAATATGGCATGAGTATGGGTTTTACTGAGAAATGGAAAAGAGTATGTTTTATTTAATAATTTAATGATTGCTTTTCCAATTATTATGAATGGATCTGTAAAATTTAATTCTATAAACCCCCCCCCACTTATTTACATTCGTTTAGTATATATGTACAAAAAAGAATATTTGAGTTACATTAATCTACCTACTAAAATTAACTAGTTTCAGTACCAATATTGTTGTCTATGTATTGAGAACTAGTGAACAAATTATGTGAACTTTGAAATGACAGAAAAGGAATAATTCGAAACCTGTCTGATGATTATTTTCTACCAGCGTTTCCACATTCCGATGAGCTTCTTCTACAAACTTGATAACGATTATCGTGTGCTGATAGTAGCACTTAGCGGTTTGTTTCTCACAGTAGTTACACCAGTTGTAACGAGTAATCACAATACAATCAAGATGAAGTAAAATCCATTTATGTTCAAATAATATTCAGTAGTTAAAAGATTTTCCAGTCAATTATTGTTAACAGCGTTTAGCTGATTTCGAACAACTATGGAGACCGATCATATGCGAGCCCAATAACTGTACTTAAAAATGCACTAATAAAAAATATTGTCATGAAATTGAACCGTTTCTTAATAATATGTGGTCATCGATTGGCCATCTCTTTAGATATCATAACTCCCAGTTTTTTTTACTGCTGCACTGTTCAATTTTCGCGGACTACAATTTCTTGAACATATAAGCAATGATTTTGATTCTCAACTAAGAAAATTTTTCTGATTATACATAACTCTTCTAGTGCAAACTGTTAATTTTAAGTTCTGTCTAAAAATTTTATGCAGAGGAAAATTCTAATTCAAACGAATATTGGTAATTTTAACACCATTCTTACATTGCTAACATAAATAAACTTTTGCGATTTAAAAAAATCGTTTTAATTGATGTAATGTTAAACGTCATAGAAACTCTTAACTTATGTACAATAACACAAAAGTCATTTTCTCGATTCTGATTAGCTATTGTCATTATATTTCTACACAGACGAATAATCCTAATTAAGAAAATATTTATATATATTTTTTCTTCTAATTAATCAGGATGAGTCATTTCGTAAAACACTTGAAACCAGTACTTACATAGAACGTGAATACAATTATCTCATGGATTTAATTTTATTATGTGATAATATTGAAACAACTTTTGAACAATTAAATTATCATTTAAATAATTTACTAACAGAACCACAATGGGTACCAGCTAAATGGCTTTATTAATTGAAGAGATAAGATCTAGAAGAGAATACTACAGTTAAACAGTAATCACTTTTTATAATTTTGCTGTTTTGCAAGGTGTTTTATTTTCTTTAATCTAAATTCTTTGCTTGTATAGATTCAAATTTTCGTTTGACTTATAAAGTAGTGCTGAAGTGAATAACTTTTACCTCTAAATTTATTATTTTTTGAGAAAGTGATCCAGGTTTGATTTTACATTTCATTTATTTTTCACGGTTCATGTCGCGTTTTTTTCGGCAGTGTGCTTCTTTTGGGTTCTGACGTTTTAATTAAAAGAAATTGGATATTGAATGTAAAAAAATTACAATGTTATTTCAGTAGTTTCTTAGAATATTTCAAACTTGACACAGTGTGATTGATGATTTGATTTATTGTAACAAGTGTAATATAAAATGACTCATATCTGTGCCATTTTGATAGTAATTTGGGTAGAATTAGAAAAAATGAAACTAATTATCCTTTACCGATTTACGATTAAATGTAAGTTCAAATCTATAAAGCATATGACAGACAGGCAATCACTTTCTTTTTTTAAAGGTTGCTTTCCTTATATGTCTAATTATGACTGTTTCTGTGCATTGTAAAGGATTAACGTTCATAAAAATAGAAAAATTACTTAGAACAGTCACCATAGATAGATTTTGAATAAGCGGCATGAAAGTAACTGTATTTCTCACAGCATTGAATGAACACTATAAAATACGTATTTGTTCAGTCGAAAAACCCTCAACTGATCAAATATATGTAGCACGATAAAACGGTAATATCAATAGTGAAAATACATTAAGCGTACGAATTTGAGGGTTATCATGCATTTTATCAATAAAATGTACCGTGAACTGTTGAAGTTAATGGCGATAATTCGTTTAAATGACAATAATAACTTGACCATAAAATTAAGCAAAACCTCTTCATTCACTTTAGTGAATTTGTTAGGTACTATTTATTTGTATAGAATATTTCTCTTTTCTAATTTATTGTTTGTAAGAAGTTCTTAAATCGTTTTAACAACTGGCAATGTGTTAAGAATAAGCAAACTCGTCGTTAATTGTGTATTAGTTGTTAATTTTAATTGTGTTCAATTTACACAAGAACATAGAAAACAACAGCACCATTATTTGCTAAATTAGATTTGGTGGTTGTCGAGTGAGGTGAGGATGATTCGTATGATATCAGCCTATCACAGCACAGAAGACATCACGAAATCGTCAATTTATTCACATACAGTCTCTATACGTTCGAAAGGACAACATTTATAAAGTTAAACATGTATTTCAATTAAGTGTTTTAAATTAGTTGTTAGAAAAAGATGTCATACAAATATAATTAATAAACAAACAATGAAATAATTTTGAAAGGATGAAAACCGACCCGTAGAAAGGCAATCATTATCAAATACATAATATTTGTCCCAACTCGATAAACATTTTAATACATTTTACGGGAATCTGAACAAGAAATGTTCTGGCAAAAGTTTGGAAAAGAAACAGATGATTTTCCCTTAAAAGAAGAACGAGTAATTAAAAGTGATTGTCTTTAGGAAAAGCACAGATTTCCAAATCTAAGGTCTCCGCGTTCGTGAAACCTAAGAAAAAGTAGGGGAGAATAAGAATATTTGAATTCCGATAAATAACAAATAATGGGATCACGGCACTACAACAGTGGAATATTGAACGAAATTCTATGAGATAGGCAGAGCTAGGACATGCTATGTTTACTGACAGTATAATTGATAGCGTATTCTTATGTGTAATCAAAAACTTGTTATGTATTGCTACTTCATCAGGATACATTCAATATACAGTATTACTACTCCGGTAAATACTTAACAAATTCAATTTGTTAAGTAACTGTACCCAAATTCTGATTCTTATACGAGGCTGTCGTTGTGGACAAAGTTAGGAAATGATAAAAAGGCCTAGCAACGTAAGATATGGAGAAACATTATTCAGCATTCTAGAGACCTTTAAGGAACCGATGTAGGAGTTTTTATTACATCCCTATGTAAATCTATCCTATTACAAGTAAGAATGAAACCAGACAGACTATCAGACATGTGTAATTTTAATCACATCATCATTTTTTCCATGTGTTAGCGTTTGTCTGCATGTAATTCTGGATACTTAATGATTGTATCAAATGTAAAGTTATACTGATTCATTCGATCAATCCAAACGTACACCATCTAGCACACTTTTTGTCTGGCTGATAAATATGCTTGCTTGAAATATAATATCGCGTTGTATAAGTGCGATCAGTCTAAGTACAATGTACGAAATGAAATCTAGGATCTTTATTTTGATGAAGTCAATTGCGTCACTATACCAGTCAACATCATTTGAACGAAATCGTATTGGTATTTATCTTACCTAGTGACACTGTGATAATTGCTTGTCCTTTTGAGAATAATCATAAACAGTCTGAATATGAGCATTTTGTGTGATAACACGTTTGCCTGTAAGTTGATTCGCTTTCGGTAATATTCATTTCGATACGTTTGAGCATAAAAAACTTTCAAATAATGTAATTCATTTCCCAAGTACAAACTCATACACAGAAACATTGTGTTATATGGAAGTGTGTAATATTACCATTTATTTGCTCAAACTGAAGTAAAAAAAGTCAGAGTTTGGACCTGGTCTTGTTGATTGGAAACCAAACATAGCTACTAACTAATCACTCTATGTTATTTTTAAAACATTTATACGGAAGCTAAACTCAAGTGTAACACACATTACGATGGGAATCCCGTAAAACAACTTAGTAAATTAGGGAGTCACATTACTAGATAAGCAAATGATAAAATATCATATTTAAGAACTCTACTTCCAGGTTATCACGTACGAATCTGATTAACATGTAATAATTCCATCCCATGTAACTATAGTCACAATCTGAATTGATATTAATGTGGTTGTACATCAGATAAATAAACGTAGAAAATTTGCTAATTTCGAAAACAAACATCATTATTGTGGAACTTTTGCCTATGATCAAAGATTTTCCTCTTGATTTTTCAACATGATTCAAAGTGAATAATGTTGTTTGGAAAGAAACGTACTCTTCAGTAAATCGATTGGAGTGCAAAACTTTTTAATTAGAGTGTGTACAGTTTAATAAATCACAGAATATACACTAACCTGAGGAGGAGTGAAACGTCTTGACTGATTGGCATTATGATGAGGTGTAGTTGATCGGTTAGATGGCAGGTCCTGTTTAACAGGAGGACGATAGGAATCCAGTCTGTTTCTTTCACCGTATGATAGCATTGGCGGGTTGTTTAGCCTATCGAAAGTGGAAAAATAACAAGTCCGGAAATCCTAATAAGAAGTTCATATTTTCCAGGTTGTAGTCGACAATCTAATGTTGTTTTTTCCAAATTAATGACATAATTAAAATTCCTTACTTATTTCTGTTCATGGCGTGTTAATCAACTTTGTTTGCATTGAAAACATTACTAAACAGTACAAATTTATTATTACTATACATCTCTGTTTAATATAACCGTATAAAAAGACAGGATTGATAAATACGAAGTTAACTGACCAGAAAACAAAGTTTGACCTGTAAATTCAACATATGAAAAGAAATATCTCACTTCAAAACTCTTCACTTTTATTGGACAACTATATAGAGCATAAACTTCGTAATTGAAAATGTGATTGTTGTTAGCTGTTGGTACTGTGGAACCAGTTAAATTGGCTGTACAATTAGATAATATTTTATAATACCAATACAGTTAAACAAAGCGCAACAGCGAAGAATGATCAATGGTTTTCTATATTAGCTCATTTAATGGGCAAAAGAGAAATCTAAATTGATGTACGTAAAGAAAACTTTAAGTGATGTTTATTGCATAGCGTTTAGTTGATTGTATGGTCTGTGTAAACGTTTGTTACATACAAAATAAACTATCGGAACCAAGATTTGGTTTAGAGGAAAACAGTTTAAAACAATCTCACCATGCCGGGCATTATAGCTTAAGCACTTATCTAGAGAACAGTTGACCGACTTCAGCAATTGGTTGAGGTTTACTTATTATTTAAAAACATAATCAATCCACCTAAATAGCACGCCGTCATTTCTTTAGATTTCGAAACCTGATTAATTTGTGAATTAAACGATTATTTTTACTTAGTCACTGTTTTCTCAATACTATCATAAAAAACAAGCAAAATTCCGTGAAGCAGTTCTCCTTTAAGTTATAGGATTCCTTAACGGAATAGAGGAAAAAAATTCATACAATACTTCGATACGAATTGAGCTGAATCCACGTGTAGTTTATTTTTCGAGATGGTAATTTAGAATTCCGGATGATCGGGAGGTTCTTCTAATAGGAAACAGGATTTAAGCGAACTAGATGGATTAGATAGTACACAACACTTCAACAAGAATCTCTCATGTGATGGAAAAAGAAAGCCAGGTAAAAAGTTTGGAAATAAAAAAGTCTAAACTGTGATAGAAGGATTCAGTTTATATTAATCACACTTATGTTCTTAAGACACATCAAACATACCAAACGAAATCCGAGAATAACCAATCGGTATAGAAGGTTACCTCGGGCATTATTTCATATCAGAACTGCAATTTAGCAATACAAAACAAGAAAATTTAAAGACTGCCTAGTAGTGAAATAAGCAGGAACAGCTGTGCGATGCAAACGTTGATTTTAACATGAAGACGTATTTACTTAATGGAACAGACAACACAAAGTAATGAAACTGAATAATTTAACAAGGATAAATCAAAAGCATATTAAAATAAACGAGGATATAATGTAAGAAAATCAGAGACAATATAATGATGTAATAAGTTGGTTTTTACGCGTGGATATTATCGTTGAACATTTTGTGAATTAGAGGATTAGACAAACATCTTAAGTTTAAAGTAGAAATATCTGTGCATTTGGCAGGTTCAAGAAGCTTTAGAAACATAGAGATTAAAATTAATTTGTAAATGGTAATTAAGTGGACTTGTACGTTTGCCGCATGATTAGAAACAATTTGTTGTTTTATAATTCAAGTCGATTAAGATAGTTTACATAATCAGATTAATTGACTGACATATTTCTTAATTTGTATATAACTTGCTTTTTCATCATATATTTCAATTAGTTTTTAAATTAGTCAAACTAATCTAGTAGATTAAAATCCTATAATCTATTTAACAATAACACGGTCAAATGCATCAGAATGGAATGATGTGATTTCTTATTTGTATTTTTCGAAACAAAACAGGTATTTGTTCAGGGTAATGTTTCATTCGCTCATTCATTTTGATTATTTCTGAGAAATAGTTTATTTTGCACAGCAAACGAGTGTACAGATTCCATAAAACAAGGAAATAGATTTTTCAAAAATGCAAAAGTAATCAACTGAGATTTTACCAGTTAACTTCATTTAGATTAGTCTTCTAACTATATCATCACTCTTTGTGTTCGCCAAAATTCTAATCACCTGAATTCTTCCTGTCTTCATCTTTTTCTCTTTCCAAATTTATTTCACTGGAATATACTT